TGCTCACTCACTCACGGCGTTTTGGTTGGTTGGTTGCTGGCTGCGTGTGTCTGTCTGTCTGTCTGTCTATGGTGTGTTCAGGGCGCGAGTCACTCGATCCATCGATGGGGGGATGGAGGATGTGCTTTCTCCTGATCGATCGCTGCCTACATTTTATATTCTTGGAGTAATGTGTGCACCCCCTCTCTCAGCGGCTGGCCTTTCCGCCGCGAGAGAGGGTTTTTTTCTTCGCACAACTCCAGTCTCTGCAATTATTTACAACGCGGGAAGTCTTGTCTCTTGTCCCTTTCCTTCTTGGTCACGACACATCGACCCATTCATTGACTGACAGGTGAGTGGAGAGGGGGGAGAGGAGAGGAGAGCCACACACAGACAGACAGAGACACACTTGAAGGCGCAAACGTATGAACGAACGTGTGTGTGTGTGTGTGTGGTTCAGGGCCACCTGCTTATCACTGCTGGCTGGTTGGATGGATGGTTGGATGGATGGTTGGATGGATGGTTGGATGATCGCTGCCTACATTTTATATCCGGACGGGTGTGCACGGCGAATTACAATGTCGGTGCCCTCCTCTCTCTGCCCCCGGACATTGTAACCCGCCTTTTTTTTACTGCACCCCAGTCTTCTGTTTAAAACGCGGGAAGTCTTGTGTCTTGTGTCTTGTCTCTCTCTTTCCCCAACACGCCCTGCTTCGCTACTCGCCCTTTCCACCAAATTGCATTTCTCACCACTTCACCGCACTGACCCCATCGATACCCTCCCTGCGGCATACCCACTTCTCACACACGCAAGGCCATCCCCCCAACCGCCGTACACAGACAGCCCATCACACCACCAGTCATTCCCCGGCCTCCCAGCCCCAGGCCTAAAGGGCTCATCGAATTCCGTGTGTGTGAATGTCTGGGTGCGTCTGCCGACCACTGCTGCACACCAACCGCATTCACCCAATTCGCAACCCTCCCCGCCCCATTCATTCGGACTCAGATGAGCACGGCAGCGGCCTTCATGGGCGCTCCATTGCAATGGGAAAAACCCTCGCCCGGGGTCCTAAGCCACGCGCGTACCTTTCTTGAGGCATGTACACGCCTAACGCGGCTCGACGAACGAATAATGGGAGGCGATAGGGAAGGGACGCCAAGCAAAATTTCGCATCAAAGCAAAGTTTGCGCACAAAGAGACTCCCAACTGGAGAGACACGCACAAGTGAGCCAGACAGGAGGACAAGCAGAGACATGCATGTGGCTCACTGAGAGTGTCTATGTGACTCACCGTGCAGTTTCTTTGGTGCTGGAGGGGCGAGATTGCGCTCTGGCTTGCGCTTGTCGCACCCCGTCCAAGGATCCTCCCCTGATCGCGCATCTTGAGGCCTGTACGGTGCGCGCGCATTTTCTAAGACGTCCCAATATAGAAAAAAGGCAAACCGCAGAAGAATATCTAACACAACGCCAAGAAATAAAAAATTGAGGAGAAATTTTAAAACACGTCCAACAAACAAGGAACACGTTTAAAGCCGCGAAAAGAAAGGACAAAATACAAAAAAGTTTGGGTTGCCTGCCCTTCTCCCTCCCCCCTCCCTCCCTGCACCGTATTTGTCTGTGGCTGGTGTGGCTGTCTGTGTGTGGTGGATGGATGGATGGATGGATTCTGCACACGTCTGGCTGCTTTCCTCCCTTCTGTCCGTGGTATGTTTGTGTTTGCGCGCGTATGTGTCGGGTTGGTCGATGCATGGAAACACTTATGTAGACGCCTGTGTGAGAACGACTGCATATCTGTGAACACACACTTTGAGTCACAGCTTCCTTGCCATTTGCGGTTTTTTGAGGGACATGAGTTTGACTGCTTGCTAGATGTCTGCTTCTCCCTTCTACACATTCTACCGATCGGCCATTACAAACCCTAGCGTTTACAGGTTGTGCAGACATATGCCTGTACAGACCCTCTTTGCGTCATCTCTCCCCCTATCTCAAGAAGCGGCATCTTGCCTGTCAAGTATTCCATGCAATACGCCATGCGTAGTGTATAAAAACTCCCGACCTGTTCAGTGACTACATCCCTCCCTGACCTGTACGTATAAAAAGCTCTGCTGCACCCGACCCACGGATCCATCCATCAGTCAGTCAGCCATTTCCACCAGAAGACCACCCAGAACAAGGAAAACAGCAGCACTAGCCCACGCGCGCTCACCACGACGGCATCACCGACCATGCTGTAGACGAGAGCGTCGATGCCGGAGTCGAAAAAACCGCCAGCGGCCGTGCCCAGACATATGCATCCGAGATCCCGCACACTCAGATCCCGCAGCCTAAGCGGTTTCTGTTGTTTTCCTGCGGCTGGTCTTCTCCGGCTGTTCTCGAGCAGCTCTTCATCCGGCGGCAGGTCACCTGATGGATGGATTGATTGATATCACATACAAACACAAATGAGTCCGTGTGCGTGTGTGTCTGGCCGTGCGCATCCATCCATCCATCCATCCCATGCAGCCATCGCTACTTACGGTCTCTGGGTATGGTTTCGGCCTCTGGGATCTTGTTCCACGAGTACATAACACTGGACGCCAGCACTGCGATCACGGCGAGCTGATCAGGCGCGTCAACGGCGTCAATCTCGACCTCGACGCTCGCCAACTTGGACACGATCTCAGGACCACTCATCCAGCTGCATGCGCACGCACACACATTCGGACCTCATGACACAGAGACACACATACTTCTCATCTACGTATGATGCGGCCTCGTCGTACGCTACCTCATGTCAATGGCGCTCATGTACTGCTCCACTATGGGCGGCGCGAGGTCCGCCAAGGAACCGAGGATCTGCCACCAGAGGATGAGGAGGAACGCCCCAATGCTGGCAAAGCCGATATCCCGCTGGCTGAGATGCTTGTTCAAGTTGAATCCTCCTCCCGCACTCAGCACGGTCACCGGCATTCCTCCAGGTGACGTCGGGGTGGGCTGCGGTGCACGGTGGGATGGCCCTGGGTGTGTCAGTGGGATGGGCGCTGTGTGTGTCAGTCGGACGGGCCGGACGAAGGCGGCCGAGGACGGCAGCGGTGACAGGCCGACGGACAGAATGAGCAGCACACTGGGCAGCCTGCAGACGATACAGATATGATGTGCGTTTGTATCAATTGCATTTGTCTGTGACGCGCGCACACGCACCTCCCAACAGACGCCATCGATCTGTCCAGCTGCTTGATCAGCCTCCTCTGAGAGGGCAGACAAGCCGCCGGCTGCTTGTCTTGTCGACGCAATCAAGCCCTACACGCAGCACAGAACCCAAGAGATACACACGTCATGCGCACGAAACGCTGCATGCCGGCGCATACCCTCACAACAGCCACGCACGATGGGGCGCCCGAGCGTGGCTGACACTCTGTCGGGGGACGGAAAAAGTGACGAAAAAAGCGAGAAATGGCGCGATCATGCGAGCTAAGCTTGCAGAGAAGTGAACGCGGAGATCTGCCAACGTAAGAAGCGGCAGCCGCGCGCTTTGGGCTCCCAGCATCGATTGAGTTGCAACAACGCCGTCATCTGCTCTTAAGACTCATCCTCGTGTCGGTGCTGCTCTGCTGCAGAAGAGGCGTCTATTCATCCATCCCATCGTCACGCCAGCGATGCTTCGTTCGCTGGGGCGGCTGAGCTCGGCCGGCCGCAACAGTTCACCGTCGTGCTCTATATCATCAATGCCGCTGGCCAACGCCACGTCGCATCCGACATGGGCGCAGCGGTGCCCTCTCATCCTTAAAGCCATCAGAGAGGCAGAATTTGTCACAATCGACCTGGAGCTCACAGGTAGGTGCGGGGGAGGGCTGCCTGACATGGACTTTTGATCTGTTTGGATGTGTGTGTGTGTGTGTGTGTTTGGCTGCAGGTCTTCACAGTCGTGACGAGCGGTTTGTGGGTGTGGAGCGGTGTTATGAGGCGCACGCTGAGGGCGCCAGGCAGTTCCTGCCGGTGCAGGTCGGCATTTGCACCGCCAGACGATCACGTAAGCCACTCACTGCAACACACCGCACACAGAAAAGTCAGACACGGCAGCGCAGCGATGGGTGTGGCGGTGCGGTTTCTTTCTTGGTTGCTTCACCTGTTCACCTGTTTGTCTGTCAGCGAGCGACCCCAGCCGATGGCTGCTGACCCCTTCCAGCATATACATCTACCCCACACACATCGAAGACAAGACATTCCAGGTCTCCATCCGAACACTCAACTTCCTGCGCGACAACGCGTTCAACTTCAACGAGTGGGTCGGCGGCGGCATCGGCTTCATCCGCCCCAGGGACGAGGAGGAGAGGCGCGCCGTGGTGCAGAGCAAGATCGACGAGCTGCAGGGGCTGCAGAAGAAGATGCGGGAGGCCACCAGTGCGGCCGCCGCCAGGCACACACAGGGGTCACAGGGACAGGGGGGTGCTGGTCCTGGTGTGGCGCCGCTGGCTTTGCCGGAGGGGTATGACAAGGAATTTGTCGACAGGGTGCGAGGACAGGTGAGGTAAATGACAGATTGGCAATGCTTATGCCATCCGTACATCCATCCATCCATCCGTCCATGTGTGTGTATATATGTGTGTGTACAGGTTCGTGATTGGATCGAGTGTGGCGAGGTCCGTCCGCTGGAGATCCCCATGGACAACGCCTTCCAAAGGCTGGTCATGCACAACATCATCGGTCGGACACTCACTCACTCACTAAAGAAGCAACACATCATATCATCGCCCATGTCAGTGAATTCAATGTATGTGTCAATGTGTCTATGTGTGTGTGTTCATGCATGTGTTTAAACAGGTCAGGAGTTCCCTGAGGTATACAGCCATTCGTCAAAGAGGGGCGACCAGCGACTCCTGTGCGTCTACAGGTCCGTAAGTGACTGACATACACACCTCCATGGATGCAATGCCATCCGTACGTACGCATGCACGAGCAAGGTGTGTGGAGGGCCATCATCGTCATCGTATCCGTGTGAGTCCATGTCAGGTCTCAGTCAGAGGTGCACGACCAGCAGATCCGCTCACTCGAAGGCGAGCTGCAGAAGATCGACGAAATGGTGGGGGGGAATCAATGGGAGAGTGCGGGTGTGTTGCAATCAATCAGTCAGTCAGTCAGTGTCTCTGTGTGCGTATGTATCGATTCGATGCCTGGCGTGACTGTCTGCAGGTGGGCGTGCGTCATGTGTTCGACGAGGTGTCCCGCGGCCAGAAGCTCATTGTCGGCCACAACTGTTTCTACGACCTGCTACACCTCTACCAAACCTTCTACGAGTCAGTCACCGCAGGGCGCGGACACACTCTCTAGAGAGAGGGAGAAAGGCAAGGCGCTGCGCTCAGCTCGTGTGTGTGTTTTGTTCGTGGACGGACGGATCTGATGGATGGATGCAGCGAGCTTCCGGGTCAGGTGTACGAGTTCAAGCGGCAGTGGATGGACAGATTCCCCTGCACACTCGACACCAAATACCTCGCTGAAACCAACGAACTTCTGTCAGCACTGCAGGCACCTCCCACGCTCAAAGGTAGGTAGGTAGACCTACCTTTCCCCTCCCCCACAGACACGCACAGCACAGGTAGGTGTCCATGCACTGCACGACTCCCTGTCTGTCTGTCTGTCTGTCTGTCCCTGTCTGTCTGCAGGATTGTGTGACTTCATGGTGGCGATAGCGTCCACCTCCATGACCGACCCCTCCCCGCCCCTCTCATTCGACGTCCAGTCAATCCCCGGCACTCAATGGAGCCTGCCCAAGGCATACGAACCACTCGTCGCCAAAGCCACCGGCTCCGATGGCAACGACGGCAGCAGCAGCAGCAGCAGCAGCGGCACCCAACTGCTGGACAGCGATGCCGATCAGCGGGATCAAGACACCGGCGGCGGCAATGGCATTGTGACACAGGGGGGAGACACTAGTGGTGTGGATGAGTTTGCGATGGGTGTGGAGCGGTACAGCGACGACATGAGCCACGAGGCGGGCTTTGACGCCCTCGTGACGTCTGTGGTCTTCATCCTACAACTCAACCACATCATCACTAAGAAGAAAATCAACTGGAGCCAAATCGACTTCAAGTAGGATGGATGGGCGTGTGTGGGCGTGTGCAGATGGATGGACCTCCTCCCTTCCCCCCAACTCCCCTCTTCCTCTCTCTCTCCCTCTCTCTCCCTCCCTCTCTCTCTCTCTGGGTGTGTGTGTGTAGGGGTCCGCGAACGTACTCTGTTCACGACAAGCAGCGGTCGGTGATGGACCTGCTGCCTTTGATGATCAACCGGATCAAGCTGGTCAAGACGCAGCCGAGTGTCATCAACCTGAGCGGCAAGGACGAGGCCGACATGTCACGGCACTTCCTTATGTCAGGCTACCCCAACAACTGGGGCAAATGGGACATCATGAAGGTGCCTGCCTGCATTGCCTACACTCTCCTCCTCACTCACAGACCGTCCATGCCATGGTCTGGATGGGTGTGGATTTATATGTGTGTGTGTGTGTGTGTGATGTGTCAGTTTTTTTCGCCGATCTTTGTGCACGTGACGCCCATCGACACGCAGAGCTGCTGGATCATTGCGCGGTCGGCCGACGACGTCGCCAACATCACCAGCCTCTACAGGGCATCCACCGAACCGCCCTTCTCGTAAAAGAGAGAGAGAGAGAGAGAGAACCGCACCCAACAACTAACAAGCAGCGTGTGCGTGTCTGTGCGTGGCAGATTGCTGACGTACGACGAGTACAAAAGGCTCCAAGAGCAGCAACCAGCGTCATCGCCCCAGCTCTCCCCCTCCCACAACACATCAGCCCCCCGTGTGAACGGCACTAGCGCGCCAGGGGCAGCCCAACAACAACAACAGCAGCAGCCAGCAGCAGCTGCCGACAATACGGGCGAGAGGGGATACAGGCAGCCCAGCCAACACAGACATGTCCGTGCAGTTCCAGAGGCAGTGAGTGGGGGGCAGGGTGGGGCAGTAAGGTGACTGATTGATACCTGTTTGCGTTGCGCGTAGCGTACGTGCATGTCCTGACTGTCTGCAGAGGCGTGAACGATTGATTCGCTCATTCAATGCAATATTGCATCTCTATAGATGCGATGCAATGCGATGCGTGTGTGTCCTCCACTCCTTGTCCATCAGTGCCCATCCTCTGGACGGATGTCCATAGATGTGTAACTAACTCACTCAGTGTCTGACAAGAGTCATCTGGAAGCCATCCTTCACCCTCAGTGTCTTCCTCTTAGCCAACCCCACATGCGCACACCCGCTGTCATCCTCCAGGGCAGCATACAGCACGCCAGACGACCAGCTTCCGCTCAGGTGGTGCACAGTACAGTTCCTCACACTCACGTAGTCGCCCTGGCTCGACTGTGTCACGATGTCCGCTCGTTTTGCAGGTCCGTGTGCGGTGACGATGGTCGCCACAAGTGACTCATCTGATGGCACGTGGGAGTCGAGCACGGCAGAGAGCTTGACAGCTGACATAGACGTCTGCAGACAGGCAGACAGGCAGGCAGGCAGGCACGCACACACATGCATTGACCCATGCGTCCTGCGTGTGTGACTGACTGACCGACTGATTGACTGACTGACTGAGTAAACACTCTTACGCCCATACTTACATGGACAGTGAGGCACTCCATCTTCTTTGCCTTCTTCGCGTCGACCGTCCACTTCTGTTCGCCGTCAGACTGCCGCTTCCACTTCGCCCTCGCAGTCATGGGGGGCTCCTCCTCCTCTTCCTTGTGCTGCTCTGCCTGGGCATTGGCGTCCTCTTCCTCCTCCTTGTGCTCGTGCTCGTCCTCGTGGCCGATGATCTCCACTTTGGTGGGGTGCAGGGACTCATGCTTCTTGCTGGACTTGACAAACGACAGGTGCAGGGGCGTATGTCTGCAGACAGACAGGATACAGGCAGGCAGGCAGGCAGGCAGACAGGTAGGTAGACAGACAGGCAGGGAGCAGGCACAGACAAATGACCGGTGTGGTATGTGGGTGCGAGTGTGTGTGAGGGTGCGTATGCACCTGCTTGGCACTTTGTGGTGCTGCTGTGTGGCGTTCCCCGCGACGTTTCCAAGGCCTCCGCGTTTGCCCCTCTTGGCCTTGTCCTTCTTGGCCTTGTCATGAATGGCCAGCAGACTGGCCTCTTCCATCAATCCAACCACGGCAAGGAATCTATCTTCAGCGACACACTGCTTCCCCTTTCCACTTTTCTATGCGAGCTAAACCCTAGACCCCAGCCAAATCTTGACCGAGGCGCTGCTGCCGGAAACGATGCCACTGTGATCTCCATCAGCTCAGTGTGAGATCTGGTGCGGCTGCGACACGACATGAACGAGGAGAAGGCGACTGGTGACGATATGAGAGCTCCTCAGTCACTCACTGACGTGCGAACCGCGGCGTTCGATGCTTTCAAAGAGCAGCAGCGCGTCCACCAACAGCACACGGGGCGAGAGATCATCATTGAGGAGGGAGAGGAGAAACCGGCTGTCGAGATGTGCGTTGGGGATGCACTTGTTTTTGACCGAAAGAGCAATCCACAGACCGGTGAGACAGGATTGTCAGTCGACAACAGTCGACAGCCCCTCAATTTGTTGTGTCGTCGACATTCAGGTTACCAGTGGATCTTCGAGACCCACCCTGCTTCTGGTTCCCCGTCATCGTCTTCCTCCCAGCCGACCGGCGTCCTCATCGAAGACGACATCTATCGCACCACATCCCGCGTCCCTGTCGGCCCCCCTTCCCTGGGCTACGGCATGATGGGCACCGAGAAGCGACGCTTTGTGGCATTAAAGGAGGGGCAGGTGGTGCTGGAGTATGGTTATGTGCTGCCTCGGTTGCTGAAGTACCCTGACGGTGACTACAAGTACCGGTACAAACTCGACAGACAGCTGCATGTCACCGTATTACCGAAAAGCGACGAAGCGGCTATGTAGCGGTTGCGATTGAGTCAAGCGATTGCGTCAAGCGCTTTGAGACGCACATGACATATCGTGGTTATGTCCGTGTGTCCATGCTGGTGGACCACGTTGCCTTTCTCGGAGTACACTGCATTGGTCCTTCAATGCGCATTTTGGACCTCGAGTTTTCGTAAAGGCGTTCGTCGTGTCTCTCTGTCCCTGTCAAGCAGTGCAAAGTATGAAGCATGCATCTTCCACCCAAATACAGACACACGCCATTGGCTTTAAATGTCGCCTCCGGCTTGACACTGCCCGGCGCCTGCAATGTGTTTTTCTCGTAAATTGCGGCACTCCATTTTCTGTAGCCGATTCTGATGCGGTGCCGTGAGTCTCTCTCTCTCTCTCTCTCGTGTGTGTGTGTGTGTGTGTGTGTGTATTGTCCAGTCCATTTCTTGCCATGCAGCGTAGATCTGTCTACTGTGTGCTCCCTTTTTCGTTTGTCTGACATGCATACAATGCAATGACATTGAATGCCGGACTGGCCGCGGATCTGCCTGTTGAACGAACTGCGTGTCTCTTCTCCACAACACACACATACGGAATCATGTCTCTGCGCATGTGTGTGTGGACACGCGCATGTAGACACCAACCACATCACATGAGCGCAGCTCTGCAAGCGTCACGTCACGCAGCCAGCGTTATGTCGTCGATCTCCCTGACATCTTTCTTCTCTGGCACTCACTCAGTATACACGTACACTTTACTTGTATGACAAAGCCCTCGCCTTTCCTCCAGAGCTGTCGATTCGATAGAGCCCGCCTCTGTCCCTCCGTACCCACAGCAGCGGCGAACGGTCGACGGGCAGACCCTCTGACGGGCTTGCCGCCGCACATTCACCACAGCGAGTTGATGGAGGGAGCAGACAATCACGTGCTCGTCGACAACACAGGCAGATAGACAGATAACGCTACAGTGGCTCATCTGCACAAATCAGGCTCACCACACACGAAGACATACAGAGACAGAGACAGATACAGAGAGGGGGAGACAGGAAGATGTATGTGCCACACCACTCGTACAATCCATGCCCCGCTATAGTGAATGACAACATGACCCCTCCCTGATCGCTTCCGCAAAAAAACAGAAGCGCACCTGACAAACAGGTGGACAGACAGGGCAACACAGACACACTCTTCCACAGAGAGGGACGAACAGCCAGAGAGGCAAAAAGACCGACGAGGGAGCGTTAAGTGCGTCCATGCCCATGCATTATTAACATTATCATGAGAAGAAGCCGGCGATGCATGCAGTCATAAAGCAGGCCATGTTGCCACCGATCATGGCACTGAACACCTGCACACACACACACACACACACAGAGTCACAGTTACACACGGGATGACATGACACCAGCCGCAGACCAACCATCCACTACACACCATACCCTCTCCCTGTCGACTGACTGACCAGTGTCGTGAGGTCTTTCTTGCGATTGGGCGCCATCGGACTCAGCCCGCCAACCTGCATCGAATGGACACCACACAATCATGCATTCCACTCACACATATGTGCCTGCCTTCCTAGGTACCTGTACGCCCAGTGATGCAAAGTTGCTGAAGCCGCAGAGGGCGTACGTGGCGATGACCTCAGCGCGCTTTGTGAGGTTGCCCGCAGTAATGAACTCGGCGAGTTTGAGGTAGGCCACGAACTCATTCGCGAACACCTTGATGCCGATCAAATACCCAACTCTCTCGCAATCGACTAAGGGCACCCCCTGAACACACAAACACACAGCCGACACGTGTCACGACAGGCATCCTATCCTCTGCCTCTGTGTGTGGTTGCTGGACTGGACGCCCCCACGGTACCATAATGCAAGCCACGGGGTACATGAGATACCCAACAAGCCGGTCGAAGGAGGCCTCCTCCCACCCCACGAGCCTCCCAAAGAACCCCACCCAATTGTTCAGTGCAGCCAGGATAGCCAGGAAGGCGATCAGCATGGCGGCGATGTTGGCCACGAGCGTGACGGCAACTGTCGTTCCGTTGGTCGCAGCTTCTATGACATTGGAGGCCTCGTCGGGCGCCACCTCGATGGGCTTGTCCGCCGTGCTTTTGGTCTTGCTCTCCTCTGTCTCGGGGTAGATCAACTTGCTGAGGGCGAGGGCTGCTGGGGCACTCATGATGGAGGCAGCCAAGAGGTGTTCCGCCGGCACGCCGAAGGAGATGTAGGCTCCCAACACACTGCCCGCGATCGTGCTGAATCCTCCAGTCTTGAATTATGGAACCAAGCATCAAATAAATGCACATCTATTTATCTGTCGACCATTCGGTCGGCAGGCAGACCCCCCCCCACCCCGCTCAGCTCACCATGACGGCGTGGAGTTCTGACATTGTCATGTCCTTCAAGAACGGCCGGACGAGCAGCGGTGCCTCAGTCTGACCGATGAATATGTTACCAGCTGCATTGAGCGACTCACTCGCAGACGTCCCCATCGTCAGCGCCATGACCTAAGTCCGCTCGCACACAACACAACACAGGACAATACAATAGACACACACGAAGGCCTGTGCGCTGCCGTCCCTCCCTCCGTCTCGCTCACCCGTGCGATGACTTCGATAACTGCCTGGAGCACCCCCAGATAATAAAGAATGAACGTCACAGCCGAGAAAAAGATGATGAGCGGCAGCACGAAGAAGGCGAACGGTGCGAAGAGGGTGAGGTCGGGTGAGATCTCCAGCGGCTTGCTCAGGTACCCAAACAGGAACTCAGCCCCCGCTTGTGAGTAGTTGAGGAAGGCCGTGACCTGCTCGCCCAGGAAGGTGAACGCTGATCGGCCCCAGTCCGTCTGCAGGATGATATAGGCGAACACAAACTGCAGCAGGAACCCCCACACCACCGGACGCCTGCACGCAACACGCAGCCACCACACACAGGGGGCCAACAGAAGAGAGAGATTGGCGTGGAGCAGCGTCACAGATAGCTATCTGTCTGGCTGGGGGGCTGGCTGACCAGTTGACGTGTTTCCTTTTCCAGCTAAACAGATATCCGGCGGCGATGAAGAAGACCAGTCCACACGCAGAGATCAGTCGCTCGAACTCACCTGCAAACACACGATGTAGCATCAACACACACATGGATCGACGGACGGATTATCAAATGCCAGCCTACCCCAGACTTCATAAAGCACGATGGCCAAGATGGCAGCAGCGAGAACAACAATCACTATCACCTGCACACACACACACACACACACACAGAGAGAGAGAGAGAGAGAGCGCCAACTCCATGCCGCTCATGCACCGCCCAGTGCAGTAGCTAGCTTGCCTTGAATGCAGTCTTTCTCCCCATGTCATAAAAGAATTGCTCAGTGCTCGACAGGAAGGCCGTGATCTCCTTCGAGTGCCGACGGCCGATGTACGAACACAAAAAGATGAACATGGCCACGCACTCCATCACCAGCAGCGCCGTCGCATTCGGCGATGGCCATGATATGACGTACGCCTGAAGTCCATCCATCACCAACACACAATGGCGTGCTGTGCTGGGTGTGTGTGCACTGCATTGTTGCTTGAGCTGGCTTGGCTTACAGCGATAGAGTAGGCAATGAGAGCCCATATGAGGATAATGGTGAAGACCCGCCGCAGCAACCGGTGTGAGGGCGATGGCTTTGCCTTGACCAGCTCCTCTGTGCTGCCGTCCTCACGTCCGTCCTCGGGATCTGCCTCATAACTGTCGGCAGCTGGAGAGATCTTCCTGGGTGAGGCCTGCTCCAGCTTCTTGATGCTCTCCTTGCTGTCCTGCGAGTCCTGAGCCTCGAGGTCAGCAGGGACGTCTGTTTTCGGTGTTGAACTCATCCGTCTTGCCGGTCCCAACAAAAGGTTCAGGTTTCCGACCCGAGCAGTTTCACGGAATGCTTTAGGGTTTCGTGGGGAGCTCGCCAAAAATCCCCGCTGCAAGATGCTGGGGTTGAGGAGCGCATTACGTTGCTCAGTGCGCCAGGCTGGAGCTGGATCTGCCAAATTCTCCCGCTCTTTGTCGACCCATCCTTTGCTGGCGTCAGCTGCCGCCCTGTACGATAAGTACGCCGACGTGGCGCTCAAGGAGTACCAGACCAACAAGGCGGCAGTGGACCAGGAGATGGCCAGGACCACACGCGACAATGCACTGGTGCTCTTCATGGAGGGCACACCAGACGCCCCGCGCAGTGAGCTGAGCCTCAACGTGGTCAAGATGCTCACCCAGGTGCAGGCCGTGCCTCTTATGGCCATCGATGTCACGCAGCACCCAGCCCTTCTCGGATATGCTATCACTTCCAGGTATAGTCAGATGCCGACACACATCACATGGGCACTGACGGATTGTGTCATACCTCTTGTCTGTCTGCCTGTCCAGCCGGCGTCGAAGAGGTCCGATGTTGATGAAGGACGGGCAGTGGGTGGGTGACCACGACGACTTGCTCAAGCTGTACACGGCTGGTGAGCTGCAGACCAAGGTTGGGTCGCCCAAGCGGGAAGAGGGATACTTCAAGGGAGAGCTGCCTGTCGCACTCTACTGACTCACTCACCCACTGGAACGAACACTGGAGAGGGGAGGGGAGGGAATGGGTATCTGTGAGAGAGGGATGAGATCTGAAGTGCCTGTCGACGTCAGGAAACTTCTCTTGACTTCACGACATGGGAGCATATATGATATTAGCTACGACTGATATTTGCACTGAAACGTACTTGAATCGTAATGGCTTCCTGCCCTGCGTGTCTTGGCACTGCCAGCTTCGCTGGACTGCCAGCTTTGCTGGTGAGTTGCCTGCCATATGTACACTCTCGCACGTATCAACAGAACACTACAGACACCCATCCATCCCATCTGCCTTTCCACCGCAGTCTGCGCGAAGGAAAGATAAATATGCATATGACTCATCTCATCTCGTGTGCGGTGCGGTGATGCCATGGGGGTGCAATCCGGTCAGCAAGGGGACACACGGCCTCTCGTGCACCCAGGAGGGCAGGCAGGAAAGTTCGCACATCCCCCTCAATGACGGCATTTCATCCCCATGTCATGACTGCAGACTGACTGATCTGGCCCACTTCATCCACTGAGAGAGCCGGCACACACCCTATCTGTCTGTCTACGTCTGGCCCGGCCGCCCGGTTGCTCGCTTACTTCACGGGGTCCGCCTGGCCGCCCCATACGTGTCCCGATCCACAATGCGCCGGTAGCCGGCAAGCTTGGCGTTGTGGATGCTGGTCGGCCTTCCGCGCACACGGCCAAAAATGGGCCGCTCCGGTGACTTGGGGCCATCGAACTGAATCACAGACATACACAGTCCAAGTAGACTTACGACTGATTTGTGTTTTCAGTGGTTGTATGTCTGTCGCACCTGTCCGAAGCACCAGAGGATGCCGGCGTATGAGCATGGGTCGCATCCGTCGAGGGCGTATTTGTGGTTGAGATGGATGGCCCACTGCAGCGCATCGCCGGGCGTCGGTGCCCACCTCAGAATCGCCTTCGCCCAAGTCATCCTGCAAACACATAACGTTGACAGCATTTGCATGGTTTGTTGTGCCTGACTCACTGCGCACATCTGACCTGATGTTGTTGTGCAGCTCTCCGTGTCTGTTGAGGCACCGCTGCGCAGCGTCCCACACAGGATCGCCGGTCGACGCCCCCTCCAGCTGCGCCAACGGCAGCGCCTCGCGTGCATCTGCCGCGTGCTGCTGCAGCGTGTCACGCGCCCACTTGGGTACCCCATCGAGCGTTGAGTGCTGGGGATACCGGTAGTGGCAGAAGCTGTAGGCCAGCTCCCGCCAGACCAGGAACTCATCCTGAAACTTGTAGACGGCCGCGCCCTCACGCGCGATGCGGAAGGGAGACACCTACACAAGCAGGCAGGGTATGAAGACACAAATGGATGGATGGATGGATACATGGATGGATGGATCCTCTGTGGCATATATCCCTCTGCCCATTCTATGGTCGTTCTCACCATGCCCCAGTGATGATAAGGACTGAGTCTCGACACGCCATCCGGAGTGAGGATGTCGTTCCGCGTCTTGGCGTAATTCTTCAGCCGTCCTGAGCTCTTGAACACCTCCCACTGGGCGTAGCCCGCAGCGCCACCGCTCAGCGAAGGGGAAGGGGGCACCTGAATATGATGGATGGATGACACACGCAAACAAAGAGATACCTGCAGGCTGCATGTCTGTGTGTCATTGTGCTGACCGTGTGATCAACAGGCGTGTCTGCTACGATTTCAGCTATGCTGCTGAGTGTCTGTGAGTTGGCCTTGATGACGTCCCAGCCATCCATCCACCCCACCTGCCCCTCACTCAGCGTCACATCGCCCAGCCCAATGCCGTCGAACTTATTGTACCGCTGAAGCATCCCCATGGCTGCCGACCGATAGCCGGCCGTCGCCGATCTGAACGCGAATGCACGCTCGTAGGCCCGGCCCACTTGGATGCACGGCACCACACACGCTGTGTCGACCGCCCAGAGGCCCCCGCCAGATGAGCCGACGGTGTCGCGCTCGTCCGTAAGGTCGATCACACCGCTGTCGTGCTCTTGCTGGCGGCTGTTGAGCGCCTCTGTGATGGCCAATGTCCAGCCCCTGTGCGGTTCGACTGGCATGTCCTCCGTCACTGTGAGGGTGGCGCCGCGGGCGAGCGACAGCATCCCCTGCCATGAGTGGGCGGGCGAACCGCCCGAGCGCTGGATGTGGAGGAAGAGGGCTCCTCCACGCCTCTCCAACTCGTCACCGGCGTCGCGCAGGCCCTCAAGCAGGAATGACCACCTGGTCACACACATAGTAGCACAACGAACGAGTGGTGGGTTGATGCTTTGAGGCTTGTGAGGCTCAGATCTTACCGTCGGTCGTTTGCATGAGGATGTCCCGCCAGTAGACACGAACAGATGACTAGCGACAGGCCCAACTGTCGTGCCGCCATCCAGGCGACATCGAGCGCAGGATTCTCGTGTCCTCGAACAGCCGTTTGCATCCAATACAGGACGTAAGACCCTTGCGATGCGGCACTGCTGGTCGGCGATGCGGCACTACTGGTCGGCGGCTGTTGGGCGAAGTCAGCGAGACGGCCAATGATCTGGGGCGGCGTGAGCGACGGAGAGGGGCGAACGACACGAATGCGGTCCCCCCAGAGGCGCGGCAAAGACATGGGCGCTGCCGACGAGGCAGCAGCTGGTGAAGATGCCTTTTGTTTCTTTTTCGCCGGCTCGCCAGCTGGCGGCTTTCCCAACCCCCTACGCATCGAAATACGGGAATCGTGCGAGCCACCGTGCGAGCTGTGGGCCTGTTTTCCCCCGATCCAAGAGACCCTCAGCTCCGTCCTCTCCTACAATGCAATGGCCTTTGCCACCATCCCTCCGCAATGAATCATCGATGGCCTACCGCTGGTGACAAATTGGCTCATACTTTGTCTCATGAGCCCGTCGTGGTGGCTCCAGCCTGACGTTCTGTGAGGCCAGCCCATCATCATGGATGCTCAGGACTCTCCGGTGGATCCCAGCTTCAGCCCATCAAACGATGAGGATGCGGCGTCCGAGGCTGAGGAGACAGCGGCTTTCGCAACATTCAACAAGGCCCTGCTCATACTGCCAGTTGATGCCCTCAACGCGACCGTTTCGTGTATTACTTGCGTCCTCTACGTCATCAGCACCTATGTGAACTCGGAGGTGAGAGCGTGAGGGAGTCCTGAACCCTTATAGGGGCTTCCCCCACCACGAATGCCATGTGTGTGATCAGGCTCTCTTTCTGCTGGATCTTGCTCTTGGTGGCTACTTCGTCTTTGATCTTGTCATTCGTTTTGTTCTGGCAACCGACAGAAGGCGGCATTGGTCGTCTTTCAGCACGTGGTTGGACGTCATTACGATCCTTCCCTCGTTTGCAGAGCTGGCCATCGTCCTGAGTCCCCCTCGCCAGCGCTACGCCACATCGGACCTGCAAGGGACGTACTGGGTAGAGCTTTTCATGACGGCGCGCGTCCTCCGCATTCTCCGCCTGGCGCGTATCTTCTCGTACGTCCAGTCTGAGCTGACACGGCAGTCCATGAAGATCGTATTGACTATCGTCGCACTCATCTACATCGCTGCTGGAGCCATGCAGGCGGTGGAGAGGGATGCTCTTGACTGGGAATTTCATGACATGTGCTATTTTATCATTATCACTTTGGTCAGCTGCTTGAAAGGCATCCAGCAGGAAGTACTTCTGTTCGTGTTTGTATGTATGTGTGTGTGGTGTGCAGACGACAGTTGGCTATGGGAGTGACATTGCGCCTGTGACGGATATAGGCCGAATTGCCATTTGTGCATTCATCGTTGTGTCATTGCTTCTCATTCCAGTGCAAGTGAGCTGCAAAAGAAAGTACCCATCCGTGTCTCCACTGTATGGCGTCATTGCGCTTCAATGGCGTGAGAGCAGACCAATGAGATGATTCGCATTCTGAAGATGCATGGAGGAGGACATGCGAGTCGTCAATTCCACCCGCAGGGGGACCAGTTTCATTTCGTGCTGGCGGGATCTAATGTTGGGGCTCACAACTTACTGACGTTCCTTTCCCAGCTGCTTCGATCGCAACTGCAGCCCGTGCAGGTCCGATTGCAGCATTCATCCTGACAGAGAAGAGAAACAGAGAAGACGTGGAAAGTGCATGGCATGATAATTGAACGGTGTAATTGATTCTGCAGGCTCATGTTGTCTTAATACAAAACTCTCACCCACCTTACCCGATTGAACGCATTATGAGGTAGCGCTTCCTTTTTACATTCTCAGTATATGTGTCTCGTGTGCCTGCGTGTACAGGTCCGCGACCTATCAGAGCATGCTGACCTACCTTGAGGGGAACATTATGGACGACGCCGATCTGAATAGGTCAGTCTGGACGGCTAGTCATGGTGCATGGCCGCCCTCCGCCGAACGAATGGATCGAGTGTGTGGTCTTGTCTCAGAGCACAAGTGTACAGCCCTCATTGTCGAGCTGTCGTCTTGTGTGCCAATCGGTCAGTGAGTAATCCATACATCCATGTCATACTTGTCCCTTGCTTCGCGTGCAGCACCACGGCCGACCTGCAGAAGGAGGATGATCGCAACATTGTCAAGGCTTTGGCGCTCAAGACTTATTTCTTGCGCCATCGGATCGACTCAGTGCGCATATGCTTACAGCTCTACCACTGGGAGAGCAGGAGGCGGCACCTATTCGGCGTCCTGAAAGGGTGAGATCGAGACACCCGAAACATATTCACGACCTCTGAATTGATCATGTCTCGTTCCGTGCTGATGCAGGGAAGGAGACATCGTGATTGTAATCGAGGCCTACAAAGCAGCTCTTCTGGCAAAGTCAGTCTTATGCAGGGGACTCTGCGCCTTTATCCATAATCTGCTTGTGCGTGGCTCGGCCGTGGGGACCACTGGGGCTCTTTCGGAGGAAGAAATCGCTCTGGAGATGCCAAGCGACTGGACGTATGCGTATTACCTCGGCCGGACGATGCAGCTGGTGGTGGCCCCGCTGACAGCGCCGTGGGAGGGCTTTGATTTCCACGATGTCGTCTCGATGTTCTATGAAGAGACACACTCGATCCTCTTCGCGCTCGAATACCCACAGAGCGATGGTATCGCAGCGACACGGGCTGCGATTCTTCTCAACCCCATCTGCTTCACCATCTATGATCCCGCGTCGACGCCTCCAAGCGACACAAACAACCTGAAGCCACCGTCCCACGGCTCGCGACGCAGGGACAGCACAGAGGACGAGAAACGTTCAGTCATTCGCGGCTTCTGGCTGACTTCACAGCCTGAGAGGATCCGTGATCTCGCGGAGGGCGGCCCTCAGCTCTTCAGGAGAAAAGTGGCGCCGAGACCGACGGCTTACACCTATGCTCCATCGTCGCCAGACGTCCCGGAGGTGACCGAGATGGGCGGGGGCAGGAAACGTGTCAGTCTGATCGACGAGTTCGGCCAGCCTGTGCCGCGAGCCGTTCCCGAGATGGAACAGTCACCCAGCCGAGAGGAATCATTCCATGAAACGCCGGCGGACGAGGGCGGAAACTGCACAGAGAGGGAACCATCGCCGATGCCGCCGCCGGCAGAAGCCGACAGCACGAATAAGACAAGTGGCTTGCCGCTTGCTTTTGAAGAGGCAGGCGCCAACAGCACGCAGGGAACGCTTACCCTGCCCATTGAGACAAGAAGATGCGGAGAGCCCAGCGTTAGGTGAGCGGCTGAGTGATGAAGTCATTCGCGCGTGTATGTCAGAATCGGCACTGATATTGTTTGGATGTTTCTGTCTCAGGCCGACGAGGTGGCAGCGGAGAGACAGGCTGTAAGTGCTAAGTGGTGCATGGGTCGACGCTCACTCTTGCGTTCCCGTCTGTGCGCGTCTTCAGACCGTCAGTCACTGACGCGGCTGAAACAATGACTCTCGATCTCTTTGACCGAAACCTCCGGTCGGTGCGAACAGCCGTCACTCCTGTCTTTATCCCGATCACGCACTGCCTCTCAGGACAAACTACCACATATCGTCTGCCGACCCGGAAGGGTCGCCGCGAATATTCATATGGTGGCCGCGCAGCTCGGAGTGCATCATCGATAACGCACAGCACCTGTCCGGACACATTGTCATCTGCGGAGCGAGGTCAGTCGGAAACCGTTCATACACAGTAAGAGACGTATGGATTCGTGCAGGCCATCGCTAATCCCTCTAGTGCATCATCTGCGGTGCAAGAGCATATTCGGTAACAGGGTACTTCCCATTGTGCTCCTCACTGCCACTCACCCAGGCGTCAGCCTCTGGCGATCCATGGCATATCTCCGGGAGTAAGCCTTAAGGGAGGGAGAAAAGGACAAGCCTTGAAGTACCACGTGTCCTTTTCGTGTGTGTTGGCCTATTGTCTTCGCGTGCAGCATCTATATCGTGCTGGGATCGTCAATGGAGACCATAGATCTCTGGCGAGCCAACATTGGCAAGGCCAGAATGGTCATCATCCTTCATCAGCGTGAGAGGATGCGACTCCAGGCGAATGTGCTCCACCAAGATGATATAGTCGATGTCTCGACTATATTTACCGTAGGACAGGCGAATACACAAGCTATACGGAATCAGACTAAGGCAGAGAGCACAGGAGGTTCTCTCCTTTGCCTGTGTGTTGCACCAGTATAAGGCGATCAAGCGCACTTGGCCTCACAAGTCTGTCGTATGCGATTTGGAGTTCACTACGAACATCTCCGCCCTCTGCGCCGAGGGACTCATCAAGCCTTCCCAAGCGCAGAATTCTGACGGTCTTGCAGACATGCGGAGCGGGCCAGCCGAGAGACTTTCAGTGAGGATGACTCACTAAGAGATGGGATCAATCAACCCCGAGGACGTGTCTTTCTGTATGTGTTGCAAGCAGCCGGAGAGCTCCCTGTATTCCCCTATCTTCGCCTCTGGTGAGGTATTACCCTCTGCTCTGCTTGACGGGCTCACAGTCAAGGCCCTCGAGTCCCGAGCGTTCCTCCATCTGATTGAAACCCTCCTCCAGGTATAATGACATGGGAACACAGACACTCACCGACACAAAAGAAGTCGTCTGCTTTCCTTCCTGCCTGCCTATCGAGTAGGTCCAGGCCCCTCCCAGCCTCCCTTCCTCGTGGGTGAATGTGCAGCCCCCTGTGTACCAAAAGCTGCCTATTAGTAAGCCAACCCGCCGCAAGCGCCCAGCATCGCTGACCTCCGCTATCACCGGCTCCGTTAAGTCCATCAACCCCTTCACCCCCTGCACTCCTCAGCGTGAAGGCAGTATATCCTCAAGAAGCCGCCGCCGGCGCAGCTCCATGATGATCTTCGCTCGCTTCATCAAGGGCATGCGGCAAAGTGGCAGCTCGAAAGTCCTCAGCATGCAGCACACGAGTGCCTCAGGGCTGCAGTCCACCGTCACAGGACTCAGCCCGAGGCTCCGCCGCAAGAGGACCGAGGGCCTTAAATACGTGCCTCACGAGTCGATCGAGACGTCGACGCTGCAGCTGATCCGCGTGCCACCCGAGTTCGAGCTGTCGACCTATGGAGACATGGTGGATGAGTTCATCGGGATGAGGCGAATAATACCGCTAGGCCTCTTGGTGGGCGGTGGCGTCCATGACAACCCGCTGCCCTATGTGCTCACCAACCCACCCCCAAGAACACGGCTTACCTCCGCCGATCACGTCTACGTGCTGCAGCCACCCGTCTCCACTGCCAGTCCTCCTGGCAAAGCGCAGGTATGGTGGGCTGATACAACCGATTCTGTATTACATATACTCCCAATATGTGTGTGCTGCTAGAGTGCAAGCCACAGGGGGAGCCCCGATTTCCAGCCGGCCATTCGGCAGGCATCACAGCGCATGAGAGGCCTGATGGAGCGTGTGCACCGGCTTAGAGTAAGGGAGCGAAGTAATGGAGTAAGGAAAGCTCTGACTGACATTATTTTTTCTTTTCTCTGTGCAGAATCGAGCGCAAAATCTAGACAGGGAGCTGAAACAAGGGCTGCTTTCCGAAAGGGTGACGCAGGAAGTGCGAGAGGTAAGCTAGGTATACAAACGTGCACGAGAGAGGTCGAACATGTGGTCCGCCCTTGTTCATCTTGACAGACCATTCATTCGGAGCTTCAGCTGCAGCGGAGACAGACAGTGGGTTTGCCGCACGTGTTGCCGCCAGCCCCTGTCAATGAAGGTGATCCTCCGCAGCAGAATGAAGACGCCGAGTGACAATGCGGGAGACACGGTATGAGTGACGGGTGCGGAGGTCTGTGTCGTCAGGCCCCTTTCGAAAGGCAGAGGGGGTAGGATGGTTGTGATCCATTGGTGGGTGGTTAGGAAGGCAGGCAAGTAGGCGAGGGGACCGATTGGTGCATGGCATGCATGGCAGGGCTCCGAAGACATATTTGTGCTTTAGCAGAAGCTTTAGCTGGCTGTGTGGGTGGACTAAGGGGCTGTGTCGATCAACATATCATGCACTTGTTGACTATTGATTGCTCGAATAGGCAGACTTCTCTTGCCTCTGGGGGTGATCATCTAACGTCTGATTGGCCATGTCTCATACCAGCGACACAAACTATCATACTGCTCACATTCTTCCCGGCGTCACATTCATTGCCACACCGCACACCTTTATCCTCATCAGCTCACCGACAACCTACAGCTCTGCTGCACTATCACTTCCTATCAATGCCTCACTTTTTCAATGATCATTCACCGTCACCTGCGGCCTTCTCTGGAGCTGGGCATTGAAGCGTTTCGACAGCGACGCTGAGTGAAGCCGAACGCGCCCTCCACTGGACGACCGACGCTCTGGTGGCCGGCCTGTCGTCACAGGTGTGGTCGGCTTACCGAATGAGGCTGAAAGGAAGGGGGTGAATGCATATGAGTGTGTGTGTTCCGTGCCTTGTGTTGCCGCGCTCACCACACGGCCACCAGAAGATGCTGAGCAATGCTTTGTCTGATGCAAGAAAGGAGACACGGCAGGTCACGATACGTTGTTTTATATTGGGCTGCCTCCTCACCTTCCTTCGCATCAGAGCGATGTCGATGGGCGCGATTACCTGCAGACATGGCAGAGTAGTCCGTATCTATCCAAAATGTGGATGATTCACTACCTCTCACCGTCGCTGTCAGCCAGACGATTGTGGAGCCGTTTGCGCCGCTCTGGAAGAAATGCGAGGCGCTGGGTCACTCGCGTATCCCCTTTCTTTCCCTCACCTCTGATCAGGGTATTTCCCCTGCTTCGGTGTCCTTGCGCGCGCCTCCTCGACTTGCCATGTGGCGTCCCATCGCCGCCAGCCTTTGGCGGGTCATCGGAGAGGAATGGCACGCCTGACAATCAGGGTGGTTGTCTGCGTGAGGGTGTCTGGAATGCACGTCGTAAGTTGTGTATGTACGTTTTCGTCTGTTGAAGGAATCGAAGTCTGAGTCCTCTGACCAGCCGCGCAGAGGGCTTTTGCACACAGACAGAGGGAGGGAGGGATGGATGCAACGTACTGGCGGGAGATGATGGCAGGCTTACGGAAGCCGGGAAGAGTTCTTCTGCCATGTCTCCACAGTGCCTGCCAAACGCAGTCGTACAGTGGAGAATCATCTCAGATGAAAATCATTAGCTTGCGTCTCGATGTTTGCTCACCTTCTGGCTGCTCGGATCTCCGGGCCTGGATAAGGAGGGAGCGATGCATGGTCTGCTCAGGAGGGTGTGGGTGCCTGATTGTTTTAACTTACTTCGTCTATCTCTTGCTGCAGTCGGCGGACCTTGGAGCTCTTCTCTTCAAGCTGAGCAGACCACCGGAGAGAAAAAGACTCTGGGGCATTTGCAAGTTGTCGCTTCGGGAATGTGACCTGGATACCCACCTGCTGACGAAGCCTCTTGAGCATCGCCTCTTTCGTCTGTCGGAATGGAGGGAACATCCTGAGTTGTTTCTGCGCACGTCTTTTTGAATGGCTTATATGCCCCACGGTCAGATCTTTCTCCAGCTGCTGTATCCGCTTAATGAGCTTTCTCTCCTCTATCTTGAACACACTCTCAGACACGCAACCCTGTACATTCACAAAGTCGTGCATTCCCAATTCTGTGGCTGACGAGAAAGCTGCAATCGTCACATGCCTTGCGGTCGTTTTCCTGCTCGAGTGCCTCCTTCTCGCTCTGCAGCACCCGCACCTCGTCCCTCAACCGACGCACCAGCACCTTTTCCTCACTCTCAGCCTCAGTCCGCGCCTTCAGTTGCTGCACACACAGACGACGATATGTGTTGAGACTGCTGCGACTGCTGCCCGTGAGATGTGAAGTACCTGTATCTCTTCGTCTCGTTGTTGTATCATAATTTTAAGCTTCTCCAAGCGGCCTTCGCGATCCTCCTGCTGGCGTTGCAGAAGAGCTGGTCCACAAAAAGACACAGGATGTATGAAAGGTGGCTGTCGATCCGTGTGGGGCACCTAGCGTTTCCTCATTGCTCGTGATTTGCTGCCGTAAGGTCTGCAGCACACGGACAGAGACATGCATCCATGGGGATCTTGGCTTCTTCGTAGCGAGTGCATGCCTGTATGTGGTCATCTTTCTCCTGCACTGCCCGTTGCAGCTCCTCCATCTGAGACCTGTCGGCAGGATCGCCTGAAGCAACCAGCCATGGTGCACAGTGTCCACGCTGTTGTCGTTCCTGTGCGTACCGATGGCTCGCAGGATCTGGTCCTGGAGGCTCGACGAGATGGGCTCGGGCTGGGCAAATGGGTAAAGGGAGAAAAGATGTCCAACACAATAGTCATTCCTCACCATGGTAATGTCTGGCGCCTCTGCTGATTGCCAGTGAGCGCGCCTGAAACAACGAAAATACACAGGAAAATTCAGAGACATGGCACATGTCCTTTGTGCTGTCCTCCGTACAGCTGGTGTATGTCTGTCTCGAGCTGGCTGATGTTCTTGTGCAGAACCTTGACATACGTCTGCAGACCCTTCACGCCACGATTGCCTGGATGACAGAGGGCGATGGGTGTGCAAGCCAAGACAGCAGCTCGTGTTCCTTCCTGTCGTATGCACCTACCGTCAACATTGCGTTGCTTAGATGCGTGCAGATTTATCCCCATCGTTTGGACTGCATAGAGAGACAACCCGAGAGTGTCTGTTCAAGAATGAATTGGCGTTTACCTGCTTGAATGAGCTGGTCTCTTGTGGCCCTTGTCTGTTCCAGCAGCTGCTCGGCCTGGCGGACCTTCTGAGTCAGCAACTCGACCTGCATGTAAGAGAGGATGCTCAGCATGGGTCGAGCACAGCAGTCTGAAGTTCGCACCTCTTTGAGTCTCTCGCTCTCGCCATCAGTCGCTCTTCTCAGCTGATCCTGGTCAGTAGCATTGCGGGAGACAACGACTTCAAAAGCATCTCGAAAGATACCTCTTTTTCGCTGAGATTCTTGGCCATAGCCTGCACGATTGAATGCAGCGCACAAAGCGTGAGATAGCCTGATGAGAGTCTTTGATCTCGTCACCCATGAGTGCCACCTGGAGGTGTTGTTCCAGCACGGCGATCCTCTGCTGCATTGCAGAGGCGTGCTCAATGCTGCACTTTGGCTGCTTCATCCAGAAGGAGGAGTTTGTGGTAAGCTGGCCCTGACGCAGTCTCTCTCAAATACAATTTGCATACCTCCTGAGAAGCGCGATCGAGGTTTGTGGCCACCTGATCACCCGACACACACATTTCCCCGCTCACTTTGGGCGATTTGTCAGACGACAATTGGTACTTCATCATTTTCAATGGCAAAGGCGGCGTAGGAACGCAGAGACTCTTCAAGAAGCAGAGAGACAAATTGTAGGAAACAATTCTTCTTCCCGCCTGTACCTTGCAGGACATTTCTGTCTTCCTCGGCCTTGCACATGGCCTCACGCAACGAAGTCAGCTCTGGAGACGCAGCGGCCACAGGCACATGAGGGTTCTTGCACTACACTTTGGTCGGCCCTGCCCGTGTACCAGTTTGTAGTTCCTGTATGGTTTCTGCCTGTTGGTGCTGCAGGTCTGCTTGGAGGCACGCGCTGAACGACTGGGCAATATGGCGACGCTGCACACACCAAACGCCACACAGCACAGTCAGGTGAGGCCTGTGACGGCAGAGCGGTTGTGACTCACGAGTCTTTCGCATTCCCGGTGCAGTTCCTCCCTTTCGGCCTTGAAGCACTCCAGGGACTCACTCATGACAGTGGCTCGATGTGTCGAGGCCCTCAGCTCGTCTCGCGTTTTCTGCAAAGGACGGACAGGTGGCCATGCAGAAAGACAGCTGAGGAGGGCTGTAGTGACAGCATGACCTGCAGTTCCTCCAGGCGTTCGTCGTCATCTCGACGCCTTGACTCATTCTGTCCGATGAACAAAGGAAGAAAAACTCCTCTTGAGCGTCTGCTTGCTTTCGTGTCTCTCTCGCCTGGTTGAAGAGCCGATCGAGCTCCTGCTGCTGGTCGCTGCACAGCCGCTCGTTTTGCGAGAGACAAGGCATTTATCATGCGCGCGTGGTCAGCTTGTAGTGTAGCGAATGCGTACCTCCCTCAGTCGCCTCTGCAAATCTGCTGTGATCTCCTGCAGCAAATTACAATGGAGAGACCGTGTCTCCCATGAGCGACAGACGTGGCTTTCGTGTTAGTGCAATGTACCGCCATGCGGCCGAGCTTCTGACGGGCATTGCGAAGATCCTGCAGACAGGAACCAAAGAAAAAAGACTCAGCATCTTTGTCCCTTTCTCGCCTCGTGGTAGCTTGACAGATGGGGTTCGACGGTCGCCAGGTGAGCGAGGATCGACGACAGCAGCTTCCACACTCGACCGTCCTTGCGATCTCTGGAAGAGAATCATACACCAACACCACGAACAGGCGCTGGACGTTTCCTGTTCCGCCTTTTTCGTATATCACAGCTGACGTCTTGGCCAGGTGCCTCTGCAGTCTCTCCAGCTCTTCCTTCAGAGCATCCAGCGATCCTAAAACGAAAAGCAGGACCCTCAGGAGCAGACCAGGTGATCCGTGCTGTCTAGGTTTGTCTACCTGTGGGCGTCGCCTGGCTCTCATACACGCCAGCACGGGAGGAACCTATGTCAGGCTGGTGAGAGACACCAAGACAGAGACACCAAATGAGTGTCCCGTCACCAGACGATCGATGCCCGTACTTACCTTCGACGTCAGCGACACAGCACTGCTGCTCCGTCTTCGATGTCGCCTCGAAGCGGCGCGCGACGATGAAGCGATCGATGACACTTCGGATGCCCTGGCTCCAGATGGGCGGTTAAGGAGCTGACTGGGCTGCGGCTCTTCACCAGGCAGCCTGTCAGATTCATGGGTGGCTCGGCGGCTGCCTTCAGCAGTGGAATCGGCATCTGAAGCACAGGGGGAGAAGGTGATGCGTAGGGAATCGGTTCTCATGCGGAAGACATGCGTACGTACGTTTCTCCCAGTACTCGAGCATCCACTGGAAGAGAGCGTCCCCGACCTCCTTGACAGAGAGATACGAGTCGTCATCCGGCAGCTCGTTCATGACCTCGTCCCAGTAGAAGGGGTCCTTGGCGGCATCCCTCACATCCATCAGCACAGCGCGGATCGTGCACAAAGGGAGCTGCCCATGAGCAGAGACCTTCAGCTTCAGGATGCCGTCTCGAAACCGTCGCATTGCAGTGAGATTGTCTTCCTCGGCCCGATCGCCGCCGCTGTGCTGTGTGTCGTCTTCCTCCAGCGGTATGCCGATGCTCTCGAGCAGCGTCTCCATGTCTTTCCAGTACCGGAGGAAGTCCATCTCCTCCGACAGACCGAACTTCCTGCGCACCAAGAAGGCCTCGAGGGCAGCCTTTTTGTCGGGAGTCTGGTCCTGGAACTGTTGCAGCAGGATCTTCTTGAGATCTTCCACGTGGATGAGCCCGCTGTCATGTTCGCTCTCCGCCGGCTTGGACGCCGCGGCGCGGCACATTTGATACAACTCGATTACCGCCCCCGTAACCTCCATCAGTGCAAACAGCCCGATTATTCTGCCGCGCGTCTTTTTCCACCGGGCCCCCACTTCGCCCCCCCAAGCTTGCACCACGGCGAAGGAGCTGCAATGAGCAAACAGGTGACCGCACACCACGACAATTGTGTTGCAAGAGACATCCAGTGCCTTCCCGACTTTGTCCCGTGCAGGAAGAAGACGCCCCGTCACAGCCTCGTCCCCTCCTCCCTGAGCCTCAGGCTGCAGAGGGCACCAAGAAGGGGAGGAGCAAGGCCGTCGCCAAGAGCAGGTTCTCCATCGTCAAGGTCTCAGCGCCTTCTGGCAGTGCAAAACGGAGTCCTGGTCCAGCTCAAGGGAGGAGGGTCAAAGCCCCGCCAGAGGCACAGCCGGAAGATCCCAAGGAATTGAGATGAGTCTACGGAGTCCAAGTACTCGGATCCGAGCCGCCGGCTATCTCTGGTGGCCAAGGGCAAACGTCCTGCTGCTGCTGCTGCTGCTGCTGCTGCTGGGGAGCTGGGGAAGGAAAGAGGGGAGCACCCTGCGGCGGCCAAACCTCTTCCCTCGCCCCCTGCGGGCCCGTCGGAGCCTGACCTCGTCAGTCAGATTGCCAAACTTGAGGAGGACGTGCATTCCTACCAGGAGCGGAATGAACGACAAAACAAGGAGCTGGCCAAGCATCGGGAGAACGAGGCGATTCTGCTGCAGCGCGTTGAAAGGCTCAAGCAAGAGAGAGCGACTCTCATGGAGGTACAAGAACAGTAGAGGCGCCAGCTATGATAGGCTTGTGTGTGCGTTTTGACAGAGTTTCGAGAAGGCGCGCAAGGCGCTTGAGATGTCACTGAGGAAGGGTGTGGAGTATGAGGGCCGCCTCAATGAGGTGAGGAGAGAATCAGTAGACCCGAAACATCCACTTGGTGTCTCCCATGTTCTCCCTCCAGATGTTTGGTGCGCTCAAATTTCAATCTTTTGCGAGCATGCGGAAGACGTCATTCCATGTGAGGCGAGAAAGAGAGAGCCATTCTGCAGAGTCCAGCCCGATCTCATATGCCGCCTCGCCGATGGGGTGGATGAGCTTCCATCCGTTCATAGAGGGTACGCGCCATGCTGTCGCATTCACACATACATGAACCCACGTAGGCTCCCTGTCTGTCTCTTCTACAGGCGAGGCCGAGGATTTTGACGAGGAGTCAGAGGAGGAACCCGAGGAGACGAAGCAAGCAGAAGGAGAGGAGCGGGTCGAGGCGCCCGAGGAACCAACCAGCCGCTTCGTGAGCTTTGAGGAGGCAGAGGAGAGGCAGAAGCAAGGGGGAGAAGAAAAAGCGGACGAAGGGAAGGGGCCCGAAGAAGATATCGGTGAGGCGCAGCCTGCCGGCGAGACAGCTGAATCGCCGATCAGCCCCCCGGCAGCCAAGGAGGGCAGGCCGTCGTCTCCCAAGATTGCGGACCGGCTCCACTCAGGGGAGTTCGAGTACATCACATTCGAGAGAGGCCTCCCCAACGGGCTTGGTCGGCTGATCCCCCCTCCTGCCAAGAAGGCGCCGCAGATGCCCACTCGCAGCAAATCAGTCGGCTCGCTGCACCAGCAAGTGCGCCCGGTCCATGTCGCACAGAGGCGCCTGTCTTATGACCCATCTCTGCCGCGAATTATACCGGCCCCCTCTCTCACGCCATTCACGCCATTCACGGCCGTCCCCTCTGCCCCTGCTCTCGCGTCGATCCATCCCGGGGTCAGCCCTGTCACGTTAACACCCTTCAGCCAGCCCGGCGGCCAACTCTATCGCCACTATCACCCGGTGCCGCTGCCAGTGAGCCCGCGAGACGCCATAATGATGCCTTCTCCGTCTGATGGGGTGGTTCAGCGTCGCGAGAAGAGGTCTCTTTCCTTGTGTCCTTGTGCATGTGCACGAGGGCACGACTCCCCAAAGCAGCAGAAACGAAGTTGGTGTGTGTAGTAGGTAGGTACATGTAGGCCTTCCCTGAGACAGAGACCTGTCAATGAGCCGTACAGTCCATGTGGAATGAACGAACACTGAAGGAGTCGACTGACCTGAACTTGAAGTAACGCGTCGATGAGCACTTGGGTTGTGTATGAGTCGCCATGCAGTGTGACCAGCACTCGCCGCGGCCCTCACTTTGACGGATGTGTGTGTATATGATGTGTGTTGTGTGTTGGTGCATGTGTGCATGGTGGTGTCTTTGCAAACCACCCCATTTGCTCGTCACCCGTCGTGTGGACGTCTGTCTCATCGGTGTGTGCTCTCCCTTGCCGGCCTGGGTGAGTGCAGACTTGAGACATGTCACGTACATGTAAAAGGTTCATCCCATGAATGGATCGATGGACGTCCATTCCACTCCACTCACATGCACTCATCCGTCCATCCATCCATCCACCTAACGACGCACGCAGACAGAGGTTCATGTCTGCCTTTCACTCATTCGGCAACCGTGACACTCTTCCTCTGCTCCCTGAGTCCCGCCACACTGAACGTCGCTGACAACACAGACTGTCTTCCCTCACCGCCTCTCTCTCCCTCCGTCCGCCCGCCCCATGTCGACTTCATTCCCCCACACGAGTAGGAGAGGCCCATGTCGTCCTGGGCTGTGTGGGTGTGTGTGGTGGCGGTGTGGCCGCTGGTGGAGGGCAGGAGGGTGAAGGCGAAGAGGCTGTAACTGTTGCAGGGGTCCAGCCCGGCCTCACCCAACAGCTGCGCACAGCATGCATACAGAAAGACATGACGCGGCACGCAGATCAGATGGACAGACAGACACAGAAACGTGCTTTGCTGGCTTGTTTGTGAGTGTGGATCGGCATCCATACATACCCTCGCAAGTCGTGCGGCGGCCTTGGCTTCGTCTTCCGAGAGGGAATGGCGCCTGGGTGGACACACACATGCACGTGTGAGACACACAGACAGACAGACAGACAGACAGATAGGCACACAGACAGCAAGGCAGGCAGGCAGACGACCTTGTCTCTCTCCGGCCCACCTGTATTGTGTGACATCGGCAGCCTGTCTCTTTATACCGTCCTCAAACAGCCGCAGGGACGACTCGGCGATGCGGTCCTCAATCATGGACAAGGGCACGTGTCTCTTCCTGCCCCTCTTGGGGCTCGCCGCGTCCTCAAACACACCCAGTCCGCCGCCGGGACGGTACTCCTCCTCACACTCAGACTCATCTAGCCACGCACACGCACATCTGCTTATCTCTCCCCCTCTGTATATGTGTGTGTGTGTACCGTCATCGATTGCGAGTCGTTTGAGATGCGGAAAGTTTAGGTCTCTGGTCTGCTGCCCGATTTCCATGAGTGCTCCGGCCGGCCCCCTGTGTGTTGGTCCGTGTGGCGGCTGCCATGGGAGGGCTGGGACGGCCTCGGGGAAGGGCAGGGCGTTGGCTAACGCCTCACGCAGCGACGCTCGACGTGCGAGGATGTGCGGCACATCCAGCTCGGACAAATGCTGTGTGGAGAGCGAGGAGACCCATACACACGGGAATCGCGTGTCTGTGGCAAGATGGCTGGTCGGCTGACCTCCTTGGCTTCTCTGAGTTTGCTGAGAGCCCGCTGCGCGTCCTGGGAGGGCACAGTCCATTCGCGGTGCTTCGGAGACTAGATCAGATCATGCACACACCCACACTCACTCACGCGTACATGGTGGCAGGTACGTGATGCGATGGCTGCCGTGGGTGTGGCGTATGTGTGTGTGTGTGACTGACTGACTGACTGACCTTGACGAGACACCCCAGCGGCTCCAGCTGCAGCGACCACGCCTTCACCTACACACACATATCACACACCAGCCGCTGCACGTGTGTTGCATGAATGAACGGCTCTCTACCTTTTTGTCGAGTGCGCACGAGAGAATGAACGCCCTTGCCCCCCACTCGGGCGCGGCTGTGTCCATGAGAGTGCCGTCGTCATTGTACTCCCGCGGCCGCACCACACGCAAAGACATGACGGCGTCGTTGTGGGCCTGCACCTCGCCCAATAGATCGACTGACATCTGATCTGCAGCACACAGCCATCCCATCCATGAGGGGTCTCTCTCCCTCTCGTGTGTGTGGTGTGTGTGTGAGGTTTGCGTCCTACGCACATTCTTCTTTGAATTGCAGCCTGATGCTGCCAGCGTTGGACTGCAGCCGACGCTGGTGCTGACCTGCACACCCATACAGACAGACAACAGACATGAAGATGGGCGTGGCGTCGGTGTGTGTGTGTGTTAGCGCGTCTCTCCCCCCGACCCGACATCCAAACTCACCAGTGTTGTGTCTGGTGGCCGTAGCGTCCCCCCGTGAGTCGCTGGCCGTGGCCCCGTGAGTCGTCGGCACAGCCAGACGCGACTGCACTGACGAGGAAGCCGCCCTCTCATTGGCAGGAGGGGCGCGGACACTGCCCGCCCTGGACAAATGCGCAAAAAAAGCTCCGTTTATAGTTCGTGTGGATGTGTGTGTGTGGCAGTTGCCTGTCTGCTTTGCGTGTGTTGGTGTCGGTGGTCTCGTTGGCCCCTGCCGGCGGTTCCGTGATGAACGTTGGCTGCTCCCGCGCAGGGCCACTGACCACGGAGACACACAGAGACAGAGAGTGCATCCCATATTTCCATCAAACGCGACATTCCTTTCTGGTCTGTTGGCGCACCCACCTAGCGTGATCCGTCTGGCCGACGTGCCCCCTCAGCCCATCCCTGATGATCACTTTCCGATGGTGCACCTTGCCCTTGGCCGATCCGCGCCGCCCACCATGGGCGTGTGCGTGTGCGTGCGCCAGCCTAGCCGAGGGCGACTTGGCCTTCACACCCACGCCCACACCCGCACCAGCACCACCAGCCGTCATCACATGTGCCATGAGCTCGTGTGACCCGGCCACCATGGTCTGGTGTCTGCTGGGGGCCAGGCTGTGTGTGGTGGACGTGGCCGCCTTCTGGAAGGCCTTGAGGGTGAGGGGCTGGTACTGCGGCGCATCGAACACGCGAGTGAGCTGCCACCACCGGATGCTGCCGGATGTGTCGGCGGAGTAGAGGGCGTCAGTGCCCCTAGCTTCGTCGAAGACGAGGGCCGTGAGGGCGCATGGCGACAACACACGGTCGGATGAGGGGGCGGTGGAGGGGGAGGGGACGGCAGACCGATGCTGCTGGTGCTGTTGATGGTGTTGATGTGCTGGTGGTATGGGGCTGCCTGACCTGCCGCTGACGATGCTGGGACGTGTGGATGCACGGCCGTCCTCGTGGTGGTCTGCGATGGCCATCCGCCGCACTATCGCATCCAGGTTCTCAAAGGTGTACATCTGTGTTCATTGGTTGGACAGGGGATGGGCAGATGCGATGCACGTCCATCAATCTGTGTGTGGTGTCTCTGTCCCCCTTACGCATGTGCCCTCCATTGAGTGCGGGCGCGTCAGCCACAGACTGATGCTGCCGCCTGCACCGAGCCGACCACACAGGAGAAAATCTTGTCCTTCGGCAGGTGTGTGTCGCACTGAGTGACTCACCGGCGTCTCCCACGGCGAGTATCGGCCGCTCCTCCATGAAAGCCAGGGCCGTCACTGCACCACTGGCCAATCACACACACACACACACAGAGAGAGAGAGAGAGAGTTGGCAAGAGTCCCCTTGACCCTTCGCCAGCCCTGACTGACTGACTGACGTGACGGGTTCGAGTGTCGATTCTCGTCTGAGGCTCTTGAGACAGATGAGCTCCACCCGGCACTCCACGCCTGCATACACCCACCGCAGTCAAGCACAGCACCGGGCGTGGCGTTGAGACTATGGACATGTCCGGGTGTGGTGTGAGGCTGACCAGCAGCAGCGAGATGGATCTGTGCGGACACTGCGAGGCACCTGACGGCCTCCCCCTCACCACCTGCCGCCATCTCAGCACGCAGCACACCCTGACGACCACTGCATGGCGAGCGACAGGCATCCAATCCACACACAGAGACATAGACAGAGAGACATGGCGGCTCGTGTGTGTATTGGTTTTGGGCCGGTGGGCGTGTGGGTGGGTGGGCGTGTGAGTGCATTCATTCATTGGTGTGTACCGGATATTGATGTCGTCAGAGTGGACTTTGACCTTGCCGTCACAGCCAGCCGACAGCAGGGTGCGTGTGCCGGGAACGGCAGCGATGCACGTCACATCCTGCCGACAGACAACACGTGGATGTGTGGATGCAGTTGTTGTGTGTGTGTGTGCACGTGTGTGGTGTTTACGGTGACCCTTCCTTGTCCCTACCTTTGTGTGTGTGTGGAACTCGCGAATCAAGTAGCCGTTGTATAGGTTGAAGCACCGCACGGCACCAGCGGCATCACCTGCACTCATTGATTAATTCATCCGGTCATTCATCGCTTGTATGTATTACTGCGGTAGATACGGTCGGTCACCCACGTACCGGTGTATATCTTCCGTTGATTCATGTCGAAGCAGGCAGCGGTGATCTCGTTGGGATTCACCTCACGCAACATCTGCAGACAGCGAGACACACAATACAATACAATCAATTCATTCACTCACAGGTTCATGACCGTCGTCTGTCTGTGTCAGTGACCTTGGTGAGTGCGCCTTGCTGCAGGTCCCACCCCTGCACGCTGCGGGCGCTGACCACATATAAGCTGCCGGACGTGTCGTTGTACAGGGCGTCGCAGCAACCCTATCAACACACACACACACACACACACACAGATGCTACAAGGTCCTGCATTCATCTGGGTGTGGGCGCGAGTGCCCACCCGCTGGTCGGTTACGCCCTCTTCGTCTTCGCTGTTGCCCACATAGTCGAAATACATGATGCGCTCGGCACCAGCTGCTATACTGAATAGGTGGGTGATATCGTGAGACACGGACACACACACACACAGATGCACGAGTATGTTATGTGTGTGGGGGCCGGCCCGATGTGGTGGGTCCCCACCGTTTGTGTTTGGGCATGACTGCAAATGTGTTGAGGTCTCTGAGCGCCTCTGACGCGCCAAAACTCTGAACCACACGGAAGTTACGCACGTCCCACAGACGCAAGGTGCCTGCACGCCACACCAACAGACACCAAGCCACAAAGAAAGAGAGGGACCACATGTGTCTCATCCACGTGTGTGTCAGCATCGTATCGCACCCACCAGCAACGTCAGCCGTGATAATCTGCGGCGTCCCCGGCAGCACCTGCACCCCGCACAGCGCGTGTGCGTGGCCCTTCATCCGGAATATCGGCGCCCGCTCCACATACGGGTTCCAGGCCAGTGCGTCCTGGTCGAGTCCCGCCGAGAAGAGCACGTGGTAGTCGCTCGAGTAGGAGAGGGAGAAGACCCCCTTGTGGTGGCCCTTCAAAGTTTTTTTGACGCGCGCCTGCGTCATGTCCCACAGGTGGATCAGGCTGTCGTCGCTGCACGACGCTAGCATGTCCAAATCTGATCGACCACAGACACACACATGCACGCGTGTATGGGTGTGTGGGGTGGGGGAGAGGGTGTGGCTGGTTGGTGTGGTGCCTGTGACGAGAGTGAGGTCGTGCAGCGGTCCTCTGTGGCATTTGCGGACTGACGTGGCGGTCAGTGTGCTCAGATTCCAGGCCGTCAACGAACCCTCGATGCCGCCACTGTACACCCACAACACACAACAGACAGAGAGAGGAGCGGTATGGTGTCTTGATGAGACTGCGTGTCTCGGTGGGCTGCGCTGCGTACCTCCATAGTGTGTGTGCCCATGTGACGCTGAGTTGGACCTCCGAGCTGGCGACCCGCTGCCGCAGCTGGGGCGGCTCGGGCGACCACAGAGACACAGTCATGTCAGCACCCGTTGTGGCGATTTGGTTGTAAGGCGGCACCCAGCAGCAGGTGATTGCCGTCCCACGGTGGCCCTCCACCTCGTGGCGAATGCTGCACTGAATGAATCAACACGCATAAACATTCGTACGTATACACATACAGACAGCCATACATACACACAGCCAGCCATTAACTTAACACAGACAGGCGTTGCGGTGCGGTGCGCCCAAATCGCTCACTTTGGCAGGGTCGTATATTCTGAACATTCTGCTCTTGTATGAGAAACACACCAGGGAGTCGAGCTCACCCAAATACACCAAACTAGATAGATACACAGACAGACAGACAGACAGACGTAGAAGCGAGCAGGTGCCGTGTGTATTTGGGGTGTGTGTGGCGGTCGGTGCAGCAACACGCCTGTCTGTCTGTCTGTCTGTCTGTGTACCGTTCGACAGTGTCCTCGTGTTTGGTGGTGTCCAGTACGGGGGATGGCTCATACTGTGGCAGGGCGGGGGAGAGAGGGAGGGAGGGAGGGAGGGAGGGACGGAAGGAGGATGGGATGAGACACCGTACGTAAAGATGGCAGACGCTGTCTGTCTCGCCCTGTGTCATTCATTCATTTACTTTTTTGATGGTGTCGACACTGAACTGATCCCTGTAGGCACATATGGATGGCGGCATCCACCCAGTTAACCACACACACACCACACCCGTACACAAATGTCCCACGGGTGGGTGTATGGTATGTGTCGCTAGCTGACTTACTTGCCGATCATTCCCAGCTCGATAATGTAGTTGGATAGCTCCTGCGCAAGGCAAACAAGCCCACATACATACCGACAGACGCGACTAAATTACACACACACACATATATGTATGTGTGTATGTCTCTCCCACCTCCCAGGTCAACTTGCCGTCACCATTCATGTCAACCTGACATATATAAGCACAGCACAGTGGGTGTCAGTCCTATGCATTGTGTCCCTGTGTGTAATTCAGAGAGCGCCTGAGGCTTGAGGAACTTACCACTCTGAATGTCTCAATGATGGCTGCCGTCAGGAGCTCTGATACATACACAGCAGAATGGCAAAGCCAAACACAAAGGACAAACAAATGCAACCACACTGCCCGTCTGTCTGTCTTGTCCCTTGCCCTCGGTCGCCATGCGCACCGATTTCCTCGTCGGTGAATTCCGGCGTCCGTCTGCGGTGCTCATCACTGGTCTGCGGCTGCTGCCAGTGCTTCGGGCTGCCCCTCGCGACACCTGCCTGCCTGACAACAGCCACACACAATGCCACCCACCCACTGTCAGCTATATGCTCTCAATACCGACCCTTTTGATGGCTGGATCATCCTGGGGTCGATGTCCGATGAGGACGGCGGGCTCAGCTGCGTCAGCACCAGCTCCAGAAACTGAATGCATCGATGGATGGATGGATAACAGAGAGTCCACAATGTGACTTTCTCGTTCCTTCGTCCACTCCACTCACTCCCATACCTCTGGCAGTGTGAGTACGCCCCCCTGCGACTCAAATCCCTTCTTGACGGCGTGTAGGGAAGCCGCGTCGAGCCATAACATCACCTCGTCAGTGTCAATGCTCCGCACGGTAGGGGCGCCGCTCACTCCGCCAACTGACGGGAGGCTCACACGGGCGGCGCGTGACACGGGCGACACGTCTGCTGACAGCTCGCCTGGGGCGGCCGCCACTGGCGCAGCTGAAGGGGCTTCCTGGGGTTTCTGCGGACAGAAGCGTCAGTCATTGAGAGAGAACGTCATTGAGAGAGAAAGGTGGCGAAAGGAGATGTGTGTGTGTGTATGCGCCGTGTGTTAGTGAGTGTACAGTACCGACCAGAACAGCAGTTGGTGGCGATTCAGCTCTGTTTTCTTTGAGTGTGGGGATGTAGGAATTCTTGGAGGGCATCAGCTGCCCCTTGACCACCTGCACCAGTGCAATGCAACCACATCCACACACACGGGCACGCGCGGCGATTGAGTGATTGACCGAGTGCCTTGCTGAGTGCCGTGGATACATACACACGTCCGAACCTGAATGACGAGTGATCTCTCGTCCTCCATGCCTGGGCCAGGCGGCAGCGGTCCAGGACCCTCCGAAGCCATGTTGTCGCTGGTCTATCAGCAACAACTCACTGCAACAACCTCCAGCAGGGCAACTACAGCTAGAAGTCCGCGATGCGTTTAGCGTCTCACGTGCGTTGGGGGCGTTGCGTGCTACCCCCAGTCTTCGTCCGATCGCCGCCCGGGTCTGGCAAGATGCGTGAGGTTGTGGAGGTGATCCCCGTGTACGGCGGTCCTGAGCAATGCGCCGTGGTGCGCATCGGCTCCCTCAATCTCATGGTCAACTGCGGATGGAACGCATTCTTTGATCCCGACTTCCTCCAACCAATACAACAGTAAGCCAGACAGACACACAGGAAGGCAGTCCAGTCTCAGAGACAGGGAGCGACGGCCGAGAGAGAGGGAGGAAGATCAGAGCTGATCTGATCTGATCTGATCTGATCTGTGTGTCGTCATCGCATCGCGTCGCTGATCAATTGGATGTCAGATGGGTTGGCACGGTAGACTATCTGCTGCTGACGCAGGGAGACCTGGATCACGTCGGCGCGGTGCCCTTCCTCCTCTCACAATGGGCGCCATTCTTCAGGACAGCCGAGGGCGACACACAGGTGACTGACTTCCCACACTCTGACTGACACCGACCTGTCATACGCCCGCACGTTCAGTTCACCGGGTTGTCTGTCTGTGTGTGTCGCAGGCTCGTCGTGTGTACTGCACCGAGCCCGTTCTCCGCCTCGCGCGCATGGCCTTATACGACGTGTACCTCAACACCCCTTACCGACCGTACCAGCACAAGCAGCAAGGCATGGCCAGCGGTGCTGCAGCAGCAGCTGCTGCTGCCGGTGAGGGTGCCGGTGAGGGTGGGCAGCAGTCGTCTGTGGATTTGTCGCTGGACGACATCGATGAGGCCTTCGAGCAGTGCCATAGGCTCAGATACCACCAGCCGGTGCCACTCACTCGACCGAACACCAATGGTAAGGACGCAGGCAGGCAGGGCGGGGAGGGACGAACGCTCACACTGTGTGTGTGTGTGTGTGTGTGTGTGTGTGTCAGAGGAGGCAATGTCTGATGGTGTGCGCGACGAGGTGACGATCGAGGCATTGCCGTCAGGGTATAGCCTGGGCGGCACCGTCTGGAGCATCAAAGTGGGATGCCAAGAGATTCTATTCGCCACCAAATGGACACCCAAACCCGAAAGGCAAGGCACATTCTGCTCGACGACACAATAAAATGCGTGCCTGCACTGCATGTGGAGATGGACGTCTCTGTGTTTGTGGTTCTCTGTCTGCAGGCATTTGGACGGTTGTCTGAGCATCTTGACGAGCCGCAGCCGTCCTGCAGTGTGGATCATGCCCCCGCCGCCACCTCCCCTCTCATCATGGCTCATGATGCAGCACTTCTCGCCTACAAGGGGTGGGTGGGTGGGGACACGCAAGCAAAGCAAGGGACAGGAGAAAGCCCACAGAGAGAGGACTTGTGGTATATCTGTCTGTCTGTCTGTCTGTCTGTCGTGCGTCAGATGCGTCGCTGGAGGAGCTGTTGGAGAAACCCACAGAGGGCGCCGCGCTTTTTAGTTAGCAAAGCACCCACACACGCGGATGGCTGGACTGTCACGCACCTGCCTCCCTTCATCCGTATGTGTGCTGTGCTGCGCTGCGCTGTGTGAGCAGAGATTGTGTCCCAGACACTCCGTGGGAGGAAGGGCACTGTGCTCATCCCCATCGAGCCGACAGGTCTGGCCCGACGAACGAAGGAACGAACGAAGGCAGAGACGGACAACGAAGGTCGGTTGGTTGTGTTGTGTTGTGGTGTCAGGTCGCATCTTTGAGCTGCTGCTGTACTTCGACGCGGCGTGGACGCGAAGCGCCGGTCTCTCATACTATCCCATTGTGTTCCTATCGCCTGTCGCGTAAGCACACCTGCACACACGGCCGGACGGCATTCACATAATGGATGTGTGTGTGTGTGGTCCATGCCATGTGTGTGTTTGTGTGTCAGGGAGCCGATATTGCTCTTCGCCCGGACGTTGCTCGAGTGGATGTCGGAGCGGATCCGAAACAACTTTGACACAAACAGGTCGGTGGGGTGGGTGCGGTGCGCCGACGCCTGAGCATCCTGTGGATATCCATGTTGGCTACCTCACTGTGTGTGGTGACCCGATCCGTCGATTGATCGGTCAGGACGAATCCGTTCCACCCGATGAAACACCTGACTGTCTGCAACTCACTGCAAGAGGTTTGTATGTCACCCACCACACCATACACGACGCACGCTTCTTGCTCTGTCTGTGTATGTTATGTCCGACAGTACGAGTCTCTACCGGACCGACCCAAGCTCGTGCTGGCCACACCAGCCACACTCGAAGGGGGACCTGCACAGGTAAGGAAACATACAAACGCACAGACAGACGGACAGGCAGTGAGTGGGTGAGACCCTCTTCCCCTTTTCCCCCTATGTATGTATGTGTATGTGAATGTCAGGAGGTCTTTCTGAAGCTCGCCCCCGACCCGAGCAACACGGTCATCTTTTTCACCCCGCCCCCCAGCGGCTCACTCGCCGAGAGGCTGGCGCACAGCTTCGCATTTGGCAGTGACAGAGGGCGGACCACCATGCCGACGCGGCAACAGAGCCGGCCTGTCACCATCGTGCGCAAAAGGAAGGTCAGTCAGTCAGTGAGTGAGAACCAGCAATTCGATCGACAGGGTGGGTGGGTACACAACCTATAACCTCTGTGCCTTTGTTCAGGTGCCTTTGCCCGATTCCGAGCTGCGTGCGTTGTATGAGGAGCAGAGAGCCCTGATGGCGAGCCAGCGGCCTCCCGAGCAGCCTTCAGCCGACACACCCATGGCCCCCGCACCACCCGACGATTCCACCAGCCACCCGGTCACTATCAAGCAGGAAGACACCGACGTGCCGATGGGCGTCGGTGAGGATGGTCCTGGCGGCCAGAGGCCTCCGCGGCGTCAGTCGTCGGTGGTGAAGATGCCGCGTGGTGAGAGGCTGCTGTCGTCATCGGCAGACTTCGGCGGGCCAAGGGACTGGTGCCAACGGACCTTCAGCCACACCGAGAGGAAGCGGCAGGCCAACGAGTTCGGCGAGACCCTCACGGAAGAGGAGCTCGACACCTGGCAGTCCGCCACGGGCCAAGCCGACAACTCCCTCCCCCTCGGTGGCACCCCCTCCTCCCTCCCCCCCGAGCCACCAAGGGGTCTGGCTGGCCGGTTCAAGCGCAAGGGCCAGCCGGGCCGGCCGGCGATGGGCGGCGGGTATGCACCGCAGACGACAGGTCAACCACCCCAGCAGCCGAGAAGGGAGTGGTTCAAGTTCCGTGTCAAAACGGAGAGGGAGGGAGAGGTCGGTGTGGACGGAAGGGGTGGAGGTGGTGGCCTGGACGGGTGGGCGATGGGCGAGGGTGGTGAGCAGCAGAGGGCCGGTGTGGGTGAGGAGGAGCCTGACTGGAAGGCACAGCTCAGGTGGCACACCTAGAGGGAGGGGGCGGGTTGATGTGTGCATTAGTGCGTTTGCCTTGTCTGTGTTGTGTTGTGTTGTGTTGTGTTGTAGGGAGTGGCTGGGCGAGGACCCTCACACGTATGTGGAGGAGGAAATCTCAGTCGTCATCAGGGTCGCCATACGGGTACACACAGTGCAGAGGTGTCTCGTCTAGGTGTCTGTCTGATGGAATGAATGGATGCACACACACATACTGCAGGTGCTGCACGGCCAGGAAGGGGTGGCCGACGGGGTGAGCGCGTGCCACTTCATCAAGCGGCTCAAGCCCCGCCACGTGGTCCTTCTCCCCGACTTTGCCAACATCGGCGGCCCCCACAGCGCGTCACTTCTCTCGTCCAGCCTGTCCAACACAGCCGACCCGCCTCAGATCCACCCCTGCGCCCCCCTCCCCTCTCTCGCCGACCTCCAATCCCTCCAGCAGCAACTGCAGCAAGACCAACAGCAGCCTCCGCCCCCCGACGCCCCCCACCCCCTGCTGCCGCCCTTTCTGCTTCAGTTCCAGTCGGTGGAGATCCGCCTGCCCACGTTGAAGCGGACGATCCGCATCCCGCCGGACTTGTGGGAGCAGCTCAAGTTCAGCAAGGTGGACGCGAGGGGCCGCCGCCCGCCCGCTCTCGTCAACCTACCCGCACCAGCACCAGGAGTGGGAGGTGGTGGGCGGGGGCAGGGCAAGGGGGGCCGTGAGGAGGCTGCCGCTGCGGCGGCAGAGAGGAGGGAAGAGCCGGCGATGCCCTCGTTTGTGGCGGTGGTGGTCGGCGACATGCAGAGGGATGCCGGCGGCACGCAGGGGTAGGAGAGGGAGGCAGGGAGGGAGGGAGGGAGGGAGAGGCAGCCAGCCAGTCACATATATTGTACACACGTGTCGATTTCCTTGATCGCAGGTCTGCAGGCGGCGTTGACTGGGGCCTTTCCGACAGACAGCAACACCCAGCCGCCGCCGCTACAGACGGCACTCACCAACAGCCTCTCGTCAAGGTCAAGGTGGAGCCATCCGAGTCGGGTCCAGCTGCAGGTGCTAGGGGTGCAGACCAGGCTGTAATGGAGGCTGAAGACATGGGTGCGGACGAGGGCATGCCGCCCCCGAGTGAGCCCCTGCTGATGGGGTCTGCTCGGCTGGTCGACCTGCAGAAGCTGCTACACACATCGGGCGACCACAAAGAGGTATGTGGGTGGCTGGCTGGGGAGGGGGGGCGGTGTGTCATGTCAGCCGTGAGCACAACACCTGTGGCTGCTGGCTGCTGGTGCATGCGATGCGATGCAATGCAATGCAGGTCATGTTCGGCGCCCCGCGAGGGTATGTGGTCGTCGACCGAGCCGCATCGCTCAAGAAGCAGGTGAGTCAGGGAGGGGCTGCAGCCAGCCATCCAACACGCATGTATACGTACGCGATCCCGCTTGTGAGGTGAGCACGTCGGTTTGGTTTCTGTTGTCAGATGGAGGAGGCGGATGAGTCTTTCCCGCCAGTTGGTGAGGAGGGCAGCGGTGCGGTGGGTGTGGACAGGTGGGTGCTGGAGGGACGGCTGAGTAGGGCATTCTTTGCCACCAGGAGGTCATTCTACCGACAGCTGCCGCCCCTCTAGCTGAGAAGACACTGACACTTGGACGGACGGACGGACAGACAGACAGGAATGAGGTGGACACACGTATGTATGTCTGTATTCACGATGCATGGCCGTTCTTCGGACTTGCCGCCCTGGTCATTGCAGGGTGTCCCGCAGTGCTGCTTGCATCGTCCGAATGAATGCCTTGTGTGTTCATGAGGACGCTCGAATGAATAAATGGATGAATGAATGAATGATCATGATGGATCGAACTCATGACGCTCTCCTTGCTGGCAAAGGGTGGGAGCAGCTCTGGCGCAGATCTCGGCTGTACGCTGTGATTGGAGGGCTGAGAGCATTGGATGCATCATGCCCCGCACGGAGATCAATTGACGGAGATCTATCCACAACCACTCCACCCATCTGGCATCGAAAGGATTCGAATGGACGCGGTTTATCACCTTTTCCTACCATATGTTACGGGTTTCGGCCTGTTTGGTTGCTGGATGTGTGTGCTGCCGCAGCCATCGGAGCAATCGAAACTGCCCTGTCCAACGCTTCGGTACGCAAAGTCGGCTGGCCGTAGGGCCGGACGTCTTGGGGTAATACTGAGCTGGGGAAAGCGCTAGGGTGGTAACACAGCAGCGAGCACTGGCCGCCGTGGTGAGTGGAAGGACAACAGAGTCGAGCTCTCGGCAGTGTTCGGTACACACACACACGCAACCACTTTTTTGCATGCATCACGGGATGCTTTTGTGTGGCGTGAGTGTCTATGTATTCCAAATGGCACGCGGTCGATTTGGATGTCTGTCTTGTCTGTCTGTCAGTCTGTCTGTCTGTCAGCTGTCTCTCTGCCGCCCATTGATATTACATCCTCACCTCAGCTCACTGCCATCGATCGTTGCACAGGCGCCACTGGCTTTCCCACACACATGCAGTGCAGTCAGTGGCCCACGAATGAATGCAACTGGACGCGGCGTCTACGTGTGGGATGGGATGGGATGGGCGTGTGCACGCGGGAGGTTGTGCATTGATTGCATGTAGTTGGTTGTACACTCCAGTTAGCCACGTAAGTAATTGGCAAACTCCCACGGTTATCGGATCACACGCACAGATTCAGATAAGACAGGTCACTCACGTCACTCACGTGTACGTCCAGTCCACTCTGCCATGCGCACACATCCACACGGGCACTCCTGACCGACATGAATGCATCAATCAAACATGCACACATGATCGTGGTGCGTCCGTCTGGCAGACACCGCTCCGAGCATCGTCGCGTCTCATGCTGGGGTGTCTATGACCTCGGCTTCTCCTTCTTCTCCTTGAAGAGTGCGAGCAGCGACACGCCCGACACCTTGACGACCTTGAAACGCACACCCGGCAAATCGCCCACAGAGTGACCGCTGCGACCAAGGCCGGCAACCAACACCTGTGTGTCCTCATACACCATAACACCACACGCACGCAACACACACACATACATCACCAGACAGACCCACAAAAGAACCAACCGTGTGGTTGGGTTGTGTGTTGTGTGTTGGCCTGCGGGTGTGTTTTGTGACCTCGTCGTTTTCGTCGATGAAGTTGAGGCAGCCGTCCCTGGGGACGAAGGCGGTGATCTTCTTGCCGTTCTTGATCAGCTGCACGCGAACAGACTTACGAATGGCAGAGTTCGGCTGCACGCACACACGCACATCCACACAGACATAGACAAGCAGGCAGGCGCCGCCACACACGTGGACATGAGGACAGCCGCGTGTCGTGTCGTCCTTTGTGTGTGGACGGTGTGTCAGCACCGCACCCACCTGTTTGGCCTCGATGCCGACTCGCTCGACGACGATGCCCTTGGCGTGTGAAGTGCCGCCGAAGGGATTGGCCTTCCACCGAGTGCCGAGGTTCGCAAGCTTGTATTGCTTGTCAGCCCATCTACACCGCCACACACACAACCACAGACGACACACAGAGAGGAGGGAACGTCCACACCGGTCTGTCTGTCCCCCCTCCCCTCGCCCTCCCGGTGACGAGAGGGATGCGGTGTGCTTACAGTTCACGCTTGCGGCGGTTGACCAGCTTACGCGCCGCCAATATTCCGTGAGGCTTGCCTGAACACACAACCACACCGGGGACAGACAAACAGCGGAGAGGTCATCCGTGGCGTCACGGATTGTCGGGATCTGTCGTGTCTTTGTGTCGCTGGTGCTTCCTCCTCCTCACCTGAACCCATGGTGGCCGACGGTGGTTGCTTCTTCTTCGCGGCTTCGCGAGCAGTTTCACGAAATGTGTGCGAGCTTTTTGTTTCACTTGAGGCGCTCTTCCTCCCCTCTTCCTTTCGCATCTCCAGCACAGATCATTCCTCCAGCGAGTTCTCATCCCCGTGCATGGCATGAGGGGAAACGAAACGGAGGGCCTTCAAGTTGGAGCTTAGCAATATCACTGGCGCGGTGCGGCATCCATGGCTTCGCCCTTTCCATGCGGCATCCATGGCTTCGCCCTTTCCATGTCAGTCACATTTATTCATGCACACACATCTCACAGTTCCACAACTCATCCATTCCATCCGCACCCAATGCACCTCAACGCGAGAAGGCGCCGGCGGTCAGTCAGTTCTCCTCCCACTAGCTATCTGACTGTCCGCCTTTGTCTCATCACCACCATGCCGACAGCAAGTGCAGCGCAACACGCAACCGAAAGGCCTAGCACTCCCCATCTCAGCGCACCTACACCCCTCTCCCTCTTAATCAATTGCCGAGTGGGTGTCATCCATCGGCGAAACTGCGTCGTGTGCCACCGACTCTCGCTCCGAGCAACAGATGCCTGCTCGATGTCCGCCGACGTCGGCGCATCGGCCCTGTCCTTCTCTCGCGTCACGACCAGCTGCCCACATGCAGACGCGATGTCCTGTCCGAGCTCTTGTCTGACGGTGACGGTAATGCCGTGGGAGCGTACGATGCTGCCGAACGCCTCGGTCTCGCTGGCTGACGGCGGCTGGTAGTCGAAGGGCACGTCGGTGGGGTTGTAGGGGATCACATTCAGACACACATCTGCACACGCACATAGACAGACAAGACACAGACGTCTCTCCGTTTCGGTTCGTGTGTCGGTCTGCCTGTGCTGTGCTGAGGCTCTGACCGTCTTTCCTCGGCTGGAGCAGCTTGCCGAGTTGGTGTGCGGTCTCCTCCGATGAGTTGACCCCCGATATCAACACGTACTCCATCGTCACAGCCTGACACACACAATGACAATGACACAACCCAATCAAGTTTCCATATATCAAAGCGTGCCCTTACCCTGAGAGCACAAGCTTTGTATGCATCCCCTCACCGACCTGGTTTTTGTGATATCGTGACGAGAGCTTCTTGGAAGACCGGATGAAGTGGTCCGTGGCCTCGAGGATCCGCTCGAGCGGCCATGCCTTGGAGGTCGGCACTATCACGCTCCGCAACTCCTGCGTGGGCGCGTGCAGCGACAAAGCAAGGGACACACCTGCACATAACATAGCATACACACACATGGGATGTGCATCCCATGTGAGTATAGGTGTGTGTCACGTCACATGGTGCGTGTAAGTGACTGTACCTACCTGGTGCGTCAGTGGCGAGTTGTCTGAGTCTTTTGACGACGCCCACGGTAGAGATGGAGATGCGTGTGGGGGAGAGGTTGAATCGCCGCGCATCCGTCATGGCACGGATGGCCTTGAGCACCTCCTCGTAGTTGTCTAGAGGCTCTGCGGGGGGCAAACAAGCAAGGCAACAGCACAGCACAGCACAGCACGTGTCACGACGAACATGGTGTGTCGTGGCGATGAGTGAGTGCATGGACAGGACAGGACAGCAGCTCTGCGGTGCGTACCTCCCATCCTGATCGATCCGATCAAGCACACAAGGAGAAGAGGCCATCCATCCATCCATCCAAGTGTGTATTGTATCTTCTGTCAGAGTGTAGTGTCCTTCCCTTGCTTACCCCATGAAGACGACGTTCCGTATCCTTTCGACCCCGTTTGCGTGGTAGAGCTGCTCCAGGATCTCACCAGACGTCAAATTCGACAACAGACCCATCGTACCCGTCGCACTGAATCAACGAATGAACGGATTCACAAAACACACAACACACCACAACACACCACAACACACCACAACACAAGACACACCACCATTGCATTGCTGCATGGCCGGCGTGTGGGTCAACCAACGTCTGTCTGTCTATCGGTCCGTTCTCCTCGTACCAGAAGGTGCATCCCATTTGGCAGCCGACTTGAGAGGATATGCAGACGGTGGCCCTTCTGGACGACCGGAACTCCACAGACCCGTCGTCGCGCCGCAGCTGCAGCTGCTCTGGGAAGGACCTCAGCTGCACGTGGCCGTATCGCATGATGACAGTCTCAATGCGCCGCCCGTCCTGCAGCTCTATCAACAGCTTGGTTGTCGAACCGTCTATGGTGGACATTCACACACACACACACACACGCACAAGATGCATCTCTCGGCCGGCACTGTCTGGCGGTGCGTGTGTACACGTATACCGGATGAGTCGGATCGTTCGACAACGCGCGAGGTGGTGCGTGCGAATCGCGTTGTGATGATGTCGTGCGCCTTGTGTGGGATGTTGACCTTGTCGTGGATGGAGTCGAGAGCCTCCCGCTGCTGCACCACGTGCCGCCAGATGGTGTGCGCATGGCGCTCCTTGACGCCTTCTGCCGAGAATGCCTAAAAAAAGGACACGCAGGAACAACGCGTTGTCTGCACCTCTCGGTTGTCCTTTCTTGTTCCGTTCGTTACCTCCAGGAGGGCGGTTTCATCAAGGATGGGCAGCGGATGGAGACTCTTGCGACCTGAACACAAACACACACACGCGCAGAGTCGTCATCAGCTGCTGGGAGGCCTCGTGATGCTCCAGACGGGACACAGACGAGATCATGCATAGCTCTTCTTTCCTCGCTTACGAGTTGTGGCGGTGCTCGCCATCACTTTGTCAGCGCTTTTGTCAGCCTTTCTTTTGTCTGTCTTCTTGGAAAGACTACAAGCTCGCAATTGTGGCTCGCATGATCGCCAGACGTCAGGGCGCTCAAATGAGCTTCCGAGGGCCGTGAACACACGACAACAGCACTTCTGACTGAAAGCACTGCCCTTCGTTCGCCATCGGCGTTGAGTCATTCACTTGGTGTCATCTTCGGGCTTGGTTTAAGGGAGGGGTAGCCAAGGGGGGTCGGTTGTGGCGTTTGCATCGTTCCTGTGACCCAGGCCAGCCGACATGGGGCTCCTGCGATCAGAGGTGAGCAGCTTGGCGATGCTATCAATGGTGATGGCTGGTTGCAGTGTCACTGGTTGATGTGTCGTGTTGTGTTGTGCTTGTTGTGTGTGTTTGCCACCAGACGATGAAGCACGGCACGCTGGTGCTGCCGTCGGAGCGTGCACGGGCCTTCATCGACATCCTCGGCCGCAAAGCCAACATGCAGTTTGTCGACGTGAGGAGTGAATCACAGACAGACAGACAGACAGACAGACAAAGAGATGTGGCACACACACACTCACTGACAGACACACACACACACACAACCACACACGTGTCCAGTCCATCCATGCCATGGGTGTACTGAATTCATGTGTGTATTTGTGTGGTTGTCTTTTCTGCGTCTGTTTGTCTGTCTGGTCTGTCCGTTGTGCTGTGTGTGCTGTGCTGTCATGTCAGATGAACGCCCATTCGATGCAGCGGCCCTACAAGAAGTATGTGCAGAGGCTTGAGGAAATGGAACGCATCCTCAGGTATGCATAAAAAGATATGGGGTCAATCCATATGCACCACGTCACCTCCACGCACACCACACATGTCATGTGGCAGCACAGCACACCACAGCCCACATCGACCGACCTGCACTGCACTGCACTGCGTGTGTGTGTGGTGTGAACGTGTGTGTCTGTGCGGTGGACGTGCAGGTTTCTGTATGAGGAGACGGGTCGGCATGGTGGCCCGGTTCTGCGCAACAAGTTCGACGAGTTCCTATCGCACGACCACGAGTACCAACTTGACAAAGTCGAGGTGAGTGAGGGGAGGGGATGGATGAGGGGCACACACTCACTCATTCGCTGACTGACTGGCGCATATGCTATGCTGATTGATACACACACTGTAGGAGTCTTTGAAGAAGCTGTACGAGCAGTTTGTCAAGTTCCGCGACAACAACCAGGAACTTACCGAACAAAGAAACAGCGTGGTATGGTACCGTGCGACTATCCCATCAACACCATTCATTCCTCCACACACTCCCCCAATGTCATGTGCACGTACCTGTCTGTCTGTCCGTGTGGTGTGTGTGTTGTTGGCTCCCCTCCCTCCGTGCCTCACTCAGACTGAGTGGCGTCAGGTGTTGTTGGTAGCGCAGGCCATGTTCGACAGCCCCCGGCCGGCCGACGTCCAGGCGGTGCGACGCGCTTCAGACACATTCGGCGACCGGGGGAGGGAGCCGCTGCTCGAGGAGGGCGGCGGCGGACAGACCACCATAGACATGGCCAAGTCAGATCACACACGCTCACACCATAACAACACACACCACAGTGAGGGCACGCGTGTGTATCTGGTGTGTGTGTTGTTATGCTGTTTGTGTGACACCCACTGCACCGCACTGCAGCAACGTAGCGGGTGTGATACTGCTGGCAGACCAGGAGAGGTTTGCGCGTACGTTGTTCCGAGCGTCGCGCGGCAACACCTACGTGTCGTTCACGCCCATCGCTGAGAAGCTGGTCGACGCCAAGTCGGGCAAGGAGGTCGCCAAGAGCGTCTTCATCGTCTACTTCCTGGTACGGACGTACGGCTGTGCGTCACTGTGTGGGAGGGAGGGAGTGGGTCAAGACATCGATGCATCCATCATACCATGTCCCTGTGTGTGTGTGTGTGTGTTGATGATGATGAAATGAAGGGTTCGACGACGAGCGCCATGTTTGAGAAGATCAAGAAGATCTGTGCCGCGTTCGGCGTCAGCATGTACACCATGTGCGTTCCCTACCCTAACAACACATCAACACAACACGTGCACTGCACGGGGGGAACACACCCCACCCACGCCACCGATGGGCAAATATATGCCTACCTGTGCCTTTGTCGTGTCGTGCATGTGATGCATCTGATGTGTGACTGACTGCAGTCCCGGTTCGATCATGGAGTTGCAGCGAGAGCTCAACGAGACGGCACTCAACCTCGAGGAAACATCAAAGGCAAGCAACAGACTCAGGAAGGACACACGTAGAGGCAGCCAGCCAGCCAGGCAGGAAGGGAGTCTGTCGATCCATTTGTGTGTGTGTGTGTGTGTGTGTGTGTGTGCTGGTGCTGCTGCTACTGCCCCATTGCAGGCGTTGGAGGCGTTTGAGAAGCACATGAGGGACCAAATCGCCACACTACTCGAACCTGTGGTCAGTCAGTCACCATACAGTCCATCCATCCATCCGCACATCCCTCACACATCCACGCCACCCACCTAGCTAGCTAGCTAATTAATGGGGCCTGCCTCCCTGCATGGCATGTCATGTGTGTGACTGTGCGTTCGTTGGTTGGTTGGTTGGTTGGTTTAGGAGGGTGGCAACAGTCTGATAGAGGAGTGGCGGCTGTTCTGCATCAAGGAGAAGGCCATCTACATCACACTCAACATGTTCGAAGGTAAGGAAGGTACACACACACACAGGACAGCAGAGCAGAGCAGAGCACGTGTCTGTCCGTCCACACGGACACGTGTGTGTGTGTGTGTGTATTCAGGCGACATCACGTTGCGGGCCAACTGCTGGTACCCAGAGCTAGAGGAGGACAGCATCAGAAACATACTCATTGAACACTCGAACCAACAAGTACACACATAGACACACACACACACAGATGCGGCTGTGTACATGGCCTTTTCCCCTCCCTGCCTCCCTCCCTCTGTATGACAGCAACTGAGTGCGTTTCTGCTGATGGACAAGCAGCAGCCCAAGAGGGCCCCGCCCACATTTATCAGACGCACCGAGTTCTCGGGCGCATTCCAGGCACGCACACACAACACACAAACACACACATAGACACACAAACCACGTCAGTCAGTCATTCTGGTGGGTGCGATTGATTCGTTGTTCGCCTCGCCCACCAACAGGAGTTGGTGGACACGTACGGCGTGCCGTCCTACCAGGAGGCCAACCCTGCGCTGTTCACCATAATCACCTTCCCCTTCCTCTTCGGCATCATGTACGGCGACATCGGACACGGACTCTGCATACTACTCCTAGGTAAAAACACATACACAAATACACAGATACACACACGCACATGGTACTACTGTCTGTGTGTGTGTGTGTGTCAGGTTCGTATCTGTTGCTGAATGCGGAGCGGTGGAAGGATGACGAGACAATGAAGGGGGCGCTGACGGCCAGGTGTGTGGGACGGGTGGGCAGGTCGACAGGCACACGCGCAGAGGAGAGGATAGGATGTGTGGGCAAAAAGTGTTCGTTTGTGTGTCTCGTGTGTGTAGGTATATGATCACTCTGATGGGCTTCTTCGCTGTCTACGCCGGTGAGTGACAGACAGACAGAGATCCCTATCCCCTGCCAGAGAGAGAGAGAGAGAGAGAGACCCGCGGGTGTGTGTATGTGTGTACGTCCTGACATGACGTGTCTCGATGTGTGTGTGATTGCAGGCTTCATGTACAACGACTTCTTCGCCATCGCGTTGAACCTCTTCGGCTCTCGATTCAAACCCGTGGGCAACACGGTGAGTCAGTCAGTCAGTCAGTGAATGAGTGCATATCTGCTCTGCCTACATCCATCCATACGCGGGCAGTGCATGGCTGCCTTCCCTCCGTGATGTAATAATACGAAACTTGAATCCTGAGCTGTATGCCGTGGAGACAGACTATTAGTCTAGCGCTGCTGAGGAAGGGAAGAGGCAGCATGCATTGCATTGCGTGCAGAATGGATGGATAGATGGAGCAAGCCAGACACGACACGCGGCGCTCATGTGACCTGTCTGTCTGTCTGTCTGTCTGTGTGTGTGTGTGTGTGGTGTGTGCAGTATGTGTCCGACGGCACCGTGTACCCATTCGGCATGGTGAGACAGCCAGCCAGCCAGCCAGCCGGCCGTCAACTCTTGATCCATCCACGCCTGCATTCTGTCTCTCTGGGTGTTCAGGATCCCGTGTGGAAGGGTGCCTCCAACGAGCTGCTCTTCGCCAACTCGTTCAAGATGAAATTCGCCGTCCTCGTGAGCAGACGACACAAGGAGAGAGAGCATGTAGAGAGAGAGACGTAACTAACGAGGCATCAAGGCGAGACGTGTTGGTCGATGGTCGTTGTGACTGACAGGTTGGCGTGACTCAGATGGGCCTGGGTGTCTTCCTCAAGGGCGCCAATGCAATACACTACAGGTCAATCACTCACTCATCAGTCAGCCACGTGTGTCACCACCCCACCCCAGACACACACAACACACGGAAGGAGGAGGGGAGGCACCCGTCGTGTGCGTGTGTATGGTGTGTTTGTGTGTGATTGCATTGCATTGCATTGCATTACATTGCAGGAAGCCGTTGGATTTCCTGTTGGAGTTCATTCCGCAGGTCATCTTCCTGGTTGGCATGTTCGGCTACATGGACTTCCTCATTGTCCTCAAGTGGATCACGCCAATACAGGGAAACAACAAACCGGGGTCAGTCAGTCAGTGGACTGGAGTGAGGGAACCGTCTCGTCATGTGACCTGACGTGATGCATGCAGACCAGACAGGGGCATGAGAGCCGTGTGTCGTGTATGTCCCACAGGATCATCAATTTGATGATCAACTGGGCGTTGATGAAGCCCATGGAGCCCACAGATGTCATGTTCGACGGACAGCAGACGCTGCAACCGGTACGCTACGCTACGCTGGCCACCCATGGATACATACATTCACATGTGCTGCGTTCATTCAATTCACCGCTGTGCTTATTCGTGTGTGCGTGTGTTTGACTGACTGACTGAGTGCATTCAGTGGTTGCTCCTGGTGTGCGTGTTGACGGTGCCGACGATGTTGTTCCCGAAGCCGCTGATCCTGTGGTGCCTCCACAGCATCAACAAACCACCCCCACAGAGTACGCACACACGCGTGACGTGTGTGCAGTGCATGCGGACGGACAGGCGTAGTGTGTGCATCGTCTGTGTGTGTGTGTGTGTGTGTGTGGATTGGAATAGGTCGGTCTGTCGACACTGAGGAGGAGGGCTACGCTGGGGAGGTACGTACGTACCGGATGCGTTCGTTCATGTGTGCATGTTATGGGTGCACGCACAGCACAGGTGTCTGTGTGTGTGTATGGTTGTGTGTGTGTGTGTGTGTGTGTGCAGGATGAGCACGAGGAGGAGTTCGAGATTGGCGAGGTCTTCATCCACCAAGTCAGTGGCCACGCCATGGGTCTGTCGGTCTATCCATGCATTGCATTGTGTGTCGATTGGTCGTTGTTTGGACAGGTGATCGAGACGATAGAGTTTGTCTTGGGTACGGTGTCCAACACGGCCTCCTACCTACGGCTGTGGGCACTCTCACTCGCACACCAGCAACTCGCACTCGTAAGGACCGCCGAACCAACATGCCCATGCCCATGCACACACACACATGGAGGAGGTGTGTTGTGTGTTTCGCGTGTTGTGTGTGTGTGTGTGTGTGCATGTGTGTGTAGGTGTTCTTCGAGAAGTCCATCCTCGGCGTGCTCGAGATGGAAAACAGCCTTGTCAGACCCATCGCAGTAAGGCATTGAGGAGTGAGGGAGTGAGTGAGTGGATGGCTGGATGGCTCGATCTTTGATGGATGGCATCATCCATTCGTTCAGCTGTTTGTGGCGTTTGCGATCTTTGCGGGCATCACTTTTGGCGTGCTGCTGTGCATGGACGTCCTCGAGTGCTTCCTGCACGCACTTCGGCTGCAGTGGTCAGTCAGCCCGCCGGACGGACACGGACACAGACAGACACACCTTACACACACGATCGGTGTGTATGATGCGATGCCATGCGGTGCCTGTCTCCAGGGTTGAGTTCCAGAACAAGTTTTACAAGGCGCAAGGGTACCGGTTTATTCCCTACAACCACAGGAACCTCCTGACATTGGGCTCACAGGAGGCATGACCAACGCGCCATGTGTCTATCGAGCGGAGCTCCCCCGGCTCCAACGGCTCTTTACTTAACCATCCTGTGGTTAGCTCAGCTTTCTGGCACTTCTTTGCTTTGCTCGGCTGTGCAATACACACACACTGGCATACATTTTTGCATCTTCTGAGAGAGGGGGCCTCTTTGGTGTTTGCTTGCTCTTTGCTTGTTGCCATTTTAACGGCCGGGCGGGCGGGCGGGGGCCTCGTTTGTGTCTCTTTCTCCTGGGTGTTTTCTGGTGGGGGGTATCGGCCAGTCCACAAGTTTTCCTGACGTAATGGGGCAAGAGCTGTGTGTGTGCTGTCGGGTGTCGGGTGCCGAAGATGCGGCCACATGCAGCGGCCTCCCTGTCTGCCTGCCTGCCTGCCTGCCTGCCTGTGTGCCCATCTAGGTGCTGCGAGAGGCATTTTTCACCGAGCCAGCGAGTCAGTCAGTCAGTCAGGTTGTCGATTATCCTATATTTGTCTCTCTTGCCCGAGTCTTGTCCATCCATCCATCCACCCACCCACCCACCACCGGCACATTGCTTGCTTGGTGGCGCGTAGGCAGGGCAGCGTGCATGCGTTGTCATGGTGTATGGCCTCCCTCCCCCTCTCGAGCTCTGTCCCTGAGTGAGAGATGCAGTCGGTCGATGTGTGGTAGTAAGTCCTAGGTAGTAAGGATGAATGGATCGATGGATCACTAGAGCCGGTTATCGCACCAACACAGTAATGGCCTTCATGTCGCCACCCATGTGCGGTTGCGTGAGCCCCCGTCCACTGCACATGACCCACACACATGCGCAGGCTGGGTGTGTTGCTCTCTCCTCTCCTTCTTGTTTGTCGCGAAGTCCGTCCTCCTTGTCTATCGCTCTCCTTGTATCTATGACATTGACTCCGTCTACTGATCTGGGAGGACTCTCCTGCATGCAATGCATGTCAATCTGCAAAGAGTCGCAGTCGATCGTTTACGCGGCACTTCGACCGTTTTTTTCCCCTTTGGCTCCGTCCCTACTTCGTCCCAAACCATGATGACGGACGTGTCGAAGGCGGGTGCCGGTGCGGCGTCGACATCTGACCCATCCTCCCCCGCCAGGGCATCCCCCTCACCAAAGGCAGCCGCGAACAGCAATGCCGTCCTCAAGGTGTTCATCGTGGTCCTGGTGGTCCTCTACGTCATGACACTGGCGCTGGTGCCGTTTGTCCTGCCCTACGTGGCATCCCCCGCACACGCCCCCAAGACAGAGGAGCACGGAGCGCTGCTCACGCCGACAGGGGACTATGTCGTCCGTAAGTGGGGGGAGGGGGTTGGATGGAGGAATGGGTGTGGATGGCTGTCTGTGTGTGTGCAGAGGTGCGTCAGAAGGTGGATGTGGTAACCCCCTTTGACCTGGTCGACAAACCACTCACCGAGATTGAACTCGTAAGCTGACCGCATGACACATAGGAGGAGTGGGTGAGGGCTGGCTGTGCCTCCATCCATCCATCCATCCATCCATCCACTCAGTTCGATGCGGTCTACCTGGATAACCTGCCGGCCAACGATGGCGGGCTGTTGGAGCGCATGTACAAGGTGGAGATGGTCACGCGCAACACGGAGTCCAACGCCATCCAGCTGTCCTTTCTCGGCGGAGACTATATGATCGTCGACGCCGACAGCGCATTCCTCTTCATCCAGGCAGCCAAGGCGGGCTGCACAGCCGAAGACACGCTGCCCGACGGCTATTGTGCAGTGGTGGAGGTGACCCAACGCCCACCGGAGGGAGCCGATCTGGGGGAAGATTCGGTGAACACGGACGTCAGCGGCCGGTTCCTGCAGGCCCGATCCAGCATCGTGGGAGCTCAATACAACCTTGGCCCACGGGGATCGGGTGAGCGAATGGATTGATGGATGAGCAGCCGGGCAGGCGGGCACTCAATCACTCACGTGTGTCGCCGTGTCGTTGTGTCTCGCCAGGTCGCAACATCAACTTCAATACCAAGCGACTATACGGCAATAGCGGTTTTGGAGATACGGGTGGCATCGTCAACCTGGGCCGCAGTCGATTCTTCTCTCACGTACGTGTGCACCAAAGGGAGAGGGAGACATTGACACCCTCAATGAAGGCCTCTTTCAATGAGGGAGGAGACACATGCTCAGGTGATGGCGTGTGTCCTATCTCTCTTGGCTGTGTGTGCGCGCACTGCAGGGCCAGTTTCGGGCGTGCCGAGGTCCATCATGCTTCTTCTAGCCTACCTACCTACCTACCTACCTGGCTGGCTGGCTGGCTGGGGGGCCCTCAGTCTACCTATACGTCGCATGAACAGCTTTTAAGTCGCTTGGCTGCCTCTCTGCATCTCTGTCTGTCTGAACCGCGCTTGGTCGTCTTCCGTGTGTCGAAGGGCTTTGCTCTCTTTTGCCATAAGGCGTGACACATGCATACGTACGCACAAACCCACACACATACAGAGAGAGAGAGATGGTTGTGTCGCCATGGCTATCGCGATAGGGTGTTCAGGAGAGATTGAGTGAGAATGGATGGATGGATGGATGGACGGAAAGGGAACGTCGGCAAGTCCGCTGATTGCTTTCTGCATCATTACATCAACAAGGCCGACGAATGACGCTGTACGCCATAGGCCGACAGACACATCAAAGACACACTGTCCCATACACAAATGCCGCAAAAAAACAGGGGCCCCAACGCATCCATCCACTGCTCATGCAGTGATGACAGTATTTTTGTGTGTGTGTGTGAGTGTGTGTGGTCTGTGTCGCTCCGACAGTCAGTCGCGGTGCACGCAACTCACTCACTCAAACAGACGTGCAGTGCAGCAAATGTGAGCAGAACAAATGTGTGTGAGAGACACAACACCCACGTAGCGGCCACAGCAGCCCTTTCCCTGCCTAGGCGATCAATCAACTATCGAGACACATCTGCCTGCCTGCCTGTCTGTCTGTCTGCCTGGCTGCCTGGCCCCGTAACTTCCCCATCACTGCAAGCGGACAGCAGTATGCATCCAATGCAGCCACTCATATGCTACATACATATATGTGTGTGTGTGCGTGTGTGTGTGTCCATGTGTATCTCTCAGCCTGGCTGTAGCGGGACAGTGTCCTTGATGTGCTGTGTCCACTGGTTGAACATGGCCACGGTGCCATCCTCAGCCATCTCGTCGAAGTCGAATGCGTCGGTGAATGGGCGGGCCAGCTGCAGCTCGTGCCACATCTGCTGGAAGTGCCGCAAGCCAGGCCGGCTGCATGGCGGCCTTGCGCGTAATGCAAGTTGCTCCGGCGTGATGCCGGGCAATGAGTGGGGGCCATGACGGCAGCACCATCAGGGCCCGGCCAGGCAGGGGCAGAGAGGGGGCTGAGTGGCTAAGCATGGCTGGATGGATAGATGGATGGTCGGTCGGTCGGCGAAGCGATGTGGCCTGCAGGCGATCGAGGCGGGTGGTGGCGGTGCGGTGAGAGGGGGATGCATATCCAGAGGATGGTGGAACGTGGATTGATGGACTCGTGGATAGAGACACGACTGCATGTTGATATGTGCGTGTGCCAAGTGCTGACGAAAATACATGGTCATCAGTCGCCATACATGGACGTATATCGGTGCCTTCATTGGTGCCTGCCAGTGTGTGGACGTACACTCCGCGCACCATTACCACACCAGTACCATACCATCTGTCTACCGCCCATCCGTTCATCTGGACTGTACTACGAGATGAGAGAGATGTCTGCCATTACACATTCTTCCATAGCACACGTGCATGGAAGAATGTGTACTGTATCGCAGTATGGAGGAACGATGGCCGCTTTCAAGCGTGAACGGAAAGGACAATGGCGTGCCGATGAAATTTGTCATGTTCGTCCGTCACTGTGCATGGGGTTCTCTTTTAGCGCGGATTCTCTCAGGCGGTGCCCGGACGGAAAGCTCAGCTGGCGAGATTTTCGCGCGATGAGACGGGAGACGCCCCAAAAGCTTTTCCGCGGAACCTACTGCAGATTTTCCCACATTCTTCTCCACGTGGCCTCTTCGGCCTTCTTTCGGCCACAGATCCTCCATTTCTTCTTCCTTTCAGCTGGTTGTTGGCTTGTGTTGTCCGCCCCATCTCCCTCTACCCCTCCCAACTCGTCCGGGCGTCACCTGCCACCTTTTTCTCACCGCCGAGGACGAGGCCTCGCCTGGCGGTGCCCTGGATTTTTGTGGAACGCCTGGCGACTGCCTGACGCCTGCCGAGCGCACACGCACCTTCTTCTCACCCAACCCGCCTCCATCAAGTGAGTACCTGTGTGTTGCCTCGTAGATGGATTGATGTAGCTGTCGAGATTCACAGGACTGGAGACGGGGCGTAAATAACTTTTTTGAAGCAGCGCAAGACAGGAAGCAGGCCGCAGCCCCTCCCTGTGCCTTCGGTGTCTTCTCTTCTGTTCGTTTCAGAATCTGAAGAGAAGGTGCGTGGGGGAACGGCATCGTCATCGGCGGGGCATGTGCGGACTCACTTTTCGCTGATGGCCGGGTTCATCGATGGTGTTGTATTGTTCTCGATCGACTGCATTGCGGACGCTTGTAAGGTGCCGACGCCGCGAGAAAGAAGAACTTCGACGCCTGCAGGCTTTCAAGCTGATGATGATGCCACCTGCTGTTGTCTTGTATTTCAATCCAGGGATGTGGCCTCAACGGTTGCACCGCCCTACTTCTGGCGCTCGCTCTGGGCGACCACCACCACCGTAGAAAGCATAAGGCAGAACGACGACGACGGGGATACATTGACCCACGGGCAGATTCTGTTGAAGTGTTGGGAGACGCTGACGACAAACTTCCTTTACACGGCTTGGCTCGGTAATAGCCTGTTTTGAAGTGTTTTCTGCTGCGGCGGCGATCGGCATGCGGGTGTTTTGCGGATGTTGTCGAAAGCGAGCGAGAAGAGGCTATACTCGGGTCCCGCAAGTAGAGCATCCTTCAGGTAGAATGGTATTAACTACCAGAACAAGAAGGCGGACAGAATGGAGTCTGCTTGTGCAGGCCCGACGGAGCTTAGCGACTTGGAAGCATCAAGGCGTAGGCGTAGGGACGCTTCATAGACGCACAAGGAACCTGCGTTCTATCTGAAACGGTCCACCAATCAGTATCAACACACAGAGGAAGAAGTTTGGGGAAGCAAGGGCCTTCCCCCTCGCCACCCGGCGGGTACAGGTGTCGCTGTTTGCTGATGTGGGGCTTCTTGCACGTACTGTACACACTCACGCACCCATCAGACAGACACAGAGGGAGGCAGGCGAGACGTGGTTGATGTGTTTGTTGCATCTCTCAGCTCTCTCTGTGCGTGTCCTTTGGCAGTCTGCTAGCGTAACGGTTGACGAGTGCATGAAATCGTACTTTGCACAGGAGTCACTGCAGGGCGACAACCAGTAAGGAGGCACCTAACCCACCCAATCGACACACAACAGCATGTGTGTGTATCTTTCTTTGTCTCCATGTGTGTCAGGTACGAGTGCGAGGCCTGTGGGCGCAAGCGTGACGCCTCCAAGGCCACCAGTCTGTCTGTGGTCCCGGAAGTGGCCATCCTGCAGTTCGAACGCAAACTGGACCCCAATCACAAGGTACGGGGGCACGGGGGCACCAGCCACCCACCCACCCACCCACCCACCCACACACAAAGAAAGAGAGAGAGAGAGAGAGAGAGGGACAACCCACACCCCTCCATCCCATGCATCCGTCCATTGGCGTGTTTGTGTGTCTCTGCAGGTGAAGACCCACGTGGAACTGCCGTTGGAGTTGGACCTGGACCTCGACGCCTACGCCGCCAACAACGGCTCGGCGCCCGCATCGGAGTCGGACATGGATGTCGACGCGGGGGACGGCGAACGGCGCAAACACAAAGTGACCGGTGAGTGAGCTGATTGGGAGGAGGCAGCCATGCGCACCGCACGTGTGTGTGACTCTCTCCCTCTGTTTGTGTCTGTGGTTGTTAGCCGTTGTGGTGCACAGCGGTTCGAGCGCTGTAAGGGGTCACTACATCGTGTACACCCTCGTGCCAGACGGTACGTCACGTCACTGATGGGTGGCTGGGGTGGGTTGCATCATCCACCCCACCTCCCCCTCTCTCTGCACATCACATGCATACGTGTCCGTCCGTCCGTCCATGTGTCTGTCTGTTATGTGTGTGTGTCACTTGTCATGTGTCACGTGTCGGCCAGCCCCCACAGATCCAGAGCGGCCCCGATGGTGTTTGTACAGTCGTCCCTCGATATATCGGACCTCCTATCGCGGATCGGATGGCCATTTCAAGCCCATCCGAAGACACGCCGCTCCCATACAAGCTACGTATCGGGGACATGGAAGACCGTCTACCATCCGGCCGCCAAGTGCACCTACGTGCTCCACGACGAGCCATCGACCTCAGCAGCAGCGGCGGCTGAGGCTGTCCCGATGATGATAGAGGGCGACCACGGCGAGACGATGGGGACGGCCATAGTCCCGTACCAGGCGCCACAGCCGATGCAGACAGAGGTGGGTGGGTGGGTGGGTGAGACGGTCGACGCAGGGAGAGCGACGCGAGGCAATCAATCGCCGCGTTTGTGTGACTGCTGTGTGCGTCATGCAGGTGTCACCCGCTCAGTGGATAGGGCGACTGCAGCCGATTATGATATACCGCCAGACACTCTCACAGTGGGTGTGATTGACACAAAGAGACGACAGGAAGCCACACACGCCTGCCTGTCTGTCTGTCTGTCTTTCTGCCATGCAGGCTCCTACATGGGCTGCATGTGTCCGGCGTCTATCAGCTCAGCCCTTCCCCTCCCGGCACACCCACAGGCCCGCCCCCGCCTCGCCTCACAGGCATCTGCTCCCTCGCGCAGCTCCAAGCCGCGATGCTGCACACATTTGCCAAGCTGCTCAGCCACACGCCCTGCCTGCCCGCGTCCCCTGGATGCGCCGTCAAGGGCGGCGAGTACTGGTGCGATGCCGGCACCTACCTGTCGCGCGTGCGGGGTTTTCTCAAGGGCCTCTTGAGGCAATATGCCCACCTGGTCATGTGCTGCGTGGCGCTTCCCCTGGCCGAGGAGACCGTCGCCCTGGGCATGGGACTCGTCGAAGGCGGTACGCATGAGGGAGGGCCAGATGGCTGTGGTCGTAACACAGCGTACACGTGTGGCAGCTTTGTCGGCCATCTCCTGTGGCCAGACTGGGAGCGGACCGAGCCGCCCGTCGACATCAACATCCACATCCGTGGGGCCTACGGCGTCGCCGCCATGACCGCCGTGCCCTCGGTGCTGCAGAAGCCCTTCCGCCTCTACCAAGTCGGCCTCCTGCCCCCAGCAATTTTGGCCCCCAGCGAAGATCAAGATCTCAACCGAGTGGAGCAAAAGAATGATGACGGCTTTTTCGATCGAAGACCTCGGTAGGTGCCTGGCTGAACAACGAGTGCATCCAGATTAATGCATGGCTGGCTGGCTGGCCTGCCTTGTGTGCATCCATCCATCTATGCATGTGCAGAGAGTCGGTCTGGGGCGCTTGGCGTCCTGATGGAGGTCGAGCAACTTGCTCGGCAGCTGAGAG